TATCTCAGAACTTCTCTCTTCCTCTTTTGATCTCTTCTGTTTGTTGTTTTGTATTCCTCTTCACTCATTCTTTAGTACCCCAGTTTCTACTAGGACATAGACCCCCAAGGCCTAGCTACTAGCTTTTAGCTTCCTTAGGTTGGGGACTGTAGGACTCACCAAGCCTATCTCTACCTTGAATAACTTTTGGGGGCGGGGGAGAGGAGAGGACAGGTCTTAAGACTGTTTTCCAGCCCCCTTTCCATCAGGCCCCAAACACTCTCTCCGGTTTTTGGTTCAAAGGGTTGCTCTCTGCATCCCATGTTTTTAGCCTAGCATCAGGTGGGGAACTTGCAGCTTGAGGCCACATGTGGCCTAGATTCTTAAGTGCGGCCTTTTCAGATTTGGATTCAGTAAAAGGCTGAACTTATGGATCTAGAAGGCCACACGTGGTCTCAAGGCTGCAGGTTCCCCACCCCTGGCCTAGCAGAATCAGTGCCAGATTTGGGAGAATGGGAGTCTTGGTGGTGTTCAGGCAGAGTCATTCCTGCAGCTGGGCTCCTAGTTACAAGTCTGCCTGGGTTTGCTGCTATGGGAGCTGTGCTAGTAGTCAAGGTGTGATAGGGAGAATTCTAAATATTAAAGTTTCTTGGTATTAATTCATGAGTTCTTTACCTTCCGTGTGGGAGGAGGGAAGGACTTGTGTGGAATCTGATGTAACTAATCTGTCTCTGGAACAGAGTTTCTCTTTGGAGGCTTTGGGGTTGCTTATGCCAAGTGGCATGCTGTGATCTTGGTGAAGCCAGGCTGAGTCTTAGTGATCACATCTTTACTTTCTAGATGTTTACAAACTGTCTGTTATAATAAATTTTAGAATTTTGCTAGGAATCAACCAGTACCTCATAGAGCTATCGTTTGCATGTTTGTTTGCAAAACAGGCCTTTTTTGGGTAAAGTTTTGCAAAACAAAACTTGTGTTTCTCTAGGCCTGAGACACTTCTCCTGTTCCCTAGGATCTTTAAAAGATACTTAACCTTATCTGTGATCTCATCAGTTTGGAAATTTGCTCCCACAATACAGTTAGTTCACAACATACATTGTTTGCCTGTCCTCTCTGACTCTTGACCATGTCCTTCCTTTAGTTCAAGACCAGTCCAGTAAACATCTAAAGATAACGACTTGAGGGCAAGAGGACAGGATGGTTGGAAAGCTTGAGGAGAAATGAGAAGGTTTGGAATTGTCAAGATGTGGAGAGTTGGTTATCACATCGTTAGAACACAGTTCCTAGACACAGAAAAGCTGGGCTCCAGGCCAAATTTTACAAGTTCTCTGGATGACTTTGGGCAGATCATTTCATTACAGCCTTAGAAATTTCTTTGTGAATTAAAGCTATCTTTATACATATGGAAAAAATGTTCTAAATCACCATTGATTAGAGAAATTCAAATTAAACAGCTCTGAAGTACCACCCTACATCTATCAGATTGGTAATTATAACAAAAAAAGAAAATGACAAATGTTGAAAGGGATGTGAGAAAATTCGGACGCTAATGTTCTGTTGATGGAGTTGTGAACTGATCCAGCCATTCTGGAGGAAATTTGGAACTACACCAGAAAGGCTATGAAACTGCATACCCTTTGATCCAGCAATGCCACTAAGATTAAAAAATAATAGTAATAATAAAAAAAGGAAAAGGGCCTTTATGTACAAAAATATTTATAGCAGCTGTTTTTTGGTGGCAAAGAATTGGAAAATGAGGGGTGTCTGACTGGGGAATGGCTGGATAAATTGTGGTATATGGTTGTGATGGAATACTATTGTGCTATAAGAAATGATGAACAGGACGATTTCAGAAAAACCTGAAAAAGACTTAAATGAACTGATGCAAAGTGAAGTGATTAGAACCAGGAGAATGTTGCATACGGTAACAGCAATATTATTCTGTCAACAACTGTGTGAATGACTTAGCTATTCTCAGCAATACAATGAACCAAGACAATCCCAAAGGACTTACGATGAAAAATGCTATCCATCTCCAGAGAAAGAGCTGATGGAGTCTGAATGCAGGCTGACTCATACTATTTTTCACTTTTTTTTTTTGTTCTAGTTTTCTTCCACAATATGACTCATATAGTTATATATATATATAATAACCTATAACCTCTGTCAGATTGCTTACCATCTCAGGGAGGGAAGGAATTTGGAACTTAAAATTTTTAAAATGAATGTTGAAAGTTTTCACATGGAATTGGGAGAAAATTGTTACTAAAAAAATAAGAAATTTCGTCATGGGGAAAATAATTCCTAGCCCATGTTACCTTGCAAAATCATGAGGATCCAATGAGATTATATAAAATGCCCAGCAAATGTGAATTGCTATTTCTGAAGTTCCTTAGTGGTTTTCACATTGACTTCAGTTAGATGGCAAACTAACTGTGTGACCCTGGACAAGTTACTAATGTGGCATCAGTTTCCTCTCCTATAAAATATGGACATTTAACTTGATGGACTTCAGAGTCCATTCATCTCAATATCTGTGATCCTATAATTACTAGACACAGACGCCGCAACCATTTAAAGTATACTTGATGTATTCTTCCCAGTGTGCAATGTATTCCCCTCTATTTTAAGAAATCTCTCCGCATGGTCTTTATGCCAAAAAATATCTCAGCATATAGCCAAATGGAAAACCAGTTTAAGTTCAGGATTAAAAGAAAAATCCATTTTGGACCATTTGACAGGAAAACTACAGTACTTTTCTTGTATTTGCTAAAAGTAGCATTGTGGCAAGTAAGTTGGGAAAATGCAAAAAAAAAAAAATTTTGTCTTTTGCTACCTTTATATTGATTGGCCCTGAAATTGGATTAGAATATCAAATAAACCATGAACTTTTAACACAATTTTTTCTCTAAGTCAGGCCCTCCTTTAGGAGATCTAAAAGGCTCTGACAATTACTTCACATTCCTGGAATTATTTCCCACAGCCTCTAACTTATTTAGGTTGGCTGGGGGTTGGAAGTGTATTAAACACCAATCAGCCAGCGCTTACAAAGCACCAACCACATGATGGGTGGGCACTGTGCTAGGTAGAGTATATGAAACCATCCCTACCTTTGAAGAGCTAGCGTTTGCTAGCATGTATAATTACATTTGCTGTAATAGGATTTAACCTCTGTTGAGCATGGGAAATGGTGATTTGTGGTTTTGTTGGCAAAGGGAACTCCTGGTGAGCAAACTGGCCTCTTCCCCAAACAAACAGAAAACTTAATTGAGGAAATTGTCAGTATGAGGAGCTTCCATTCCCTAGGATTTCAGTTTAAAGCTGGGGGTGTGATGTGGTTGGTGACAGGAATGAAATAGATGGCAAGTAAAACTTTTGGTGGTAAGTTATTACCAAGATGCATGGATATTTCATTTTTCATTATTCAACCACATTTCCACTTTGAGCTTCCTGCAAGCATTTTCCAATCCCTCTTAATGCTAGTAACTTCCCTCTGAGATTTTCTCAACTTTATCCTGTATATATCTTGTTTGTCATAGTCATTTACATGTCTCTCCTGTTAGACTGTGAGCTCCTTGAGCACAGGGGCTGGTTTTTTTGTTTCTTTTTACCTCTCTTTGTATCTCTGGCACTTAGCACAGTGCATCATGTCAAACCCTTCATGAGCCAGTGGACCATATTGTCCATGGGGTTTTCTTGGCAAAGATACTGGAGTGGTTTGCATTTCTTTCTCCAATGGATGAAAGCAAATCGAGAGTGCCTAGTGACTTGTCCAGGGTCACTTTGCTAGTAAGTGCCTGAGACCAGATTTGAACTCAGATCTTCCTGACCCTAGGTCCCTCACTCTATCACTCTGAGTCACCTAGCTTCTCCTTCTGTGCTTGGCACATAGAAGGTTCTTAATAAGTGTTTGTGTTGTGGAATGACCTTCCCATCTGTCAATCTCGTGGTGGTGGAATGCGTTTCAGTCTTTGAGAATCCCTAGCTTCCATTAGAGCAAGGACCATGTGCCAAGGTACTTTCCTGATCACCCTCCTCCCTTACTGTTCTTTTCCTGAAATTACTTTTTATTTATCTCTCTATATATACATGGTATATGCCCACTCCTTGAAGGCAAGTTCTGTCTTTTTTGTTTCTGTATCCCCAGATGTACAGAGTTGGTAGAGGCAGCGTGGCACATCACACACTGGACCTGAGTTCGAGTTCCTTCCTTGCTGGATGCCTGACCCTGGGCAAGTCCCTTCAGTTTCCTTCGGCCTTATTTTCCTCATCTATAAAATTTAGGGGCTTGTTCTCAATGGCTTTTTCAGGTCCTTCCCAGCTCTAAACCTGCTACCATCCATCCTATGATCCGATGAATTGAATCACAACTAAATTATTTCAGGCCAAATCAAACCAATATACTTGGAAAGGTATAAACAAGATAGAAAAAAAGAATATGAATGACGCGGTGGCAAAGAGACGACGATTGGCTCTTTTTAAAAGAAAAAACGATCACCGAGGTTAAAGGGTATAAAAAAGCTAGAGAGGAGGTAGAGGGTGAGAAGAAACGACTGGACGAAGCTCTCCCCTTTCGTTGTCCCTCAAGTTGTGGGCGGGGCGGAGACAAGGGGAAGAAAGGGAGAGGAACGAGGCTGGGTTAAACTTGGGATCTCGCTTCCAGCTCCTGGAGCGCTCTCTGCGAGCTTCTCAGAACAAACCCACTGTGGGCGGGGGTGCTGTCCCCTCTGCCCAGGATCTCGGGCAGGACGAGCAGCAGCTGGCGGCGGCCTGGCCTGGCCTGGCCGCCTGCCTTCCTACCGCCGCCGGGGCTGGGCACAGCGAAGGCGGACCCGACGCACTTCCCGGGAAGGTGGCCCGGACGGCTCCTGGGCGCCCCCTGGCCCGGCTCTGGGCCCTGGGCGCCGGAGGTTTCCGGTGAGCTCCCGGGGCCGGTTATGACGACTCCCTCCTCCTCCTCTTTCTCCACCTCCACCACCACCACCTCCTCCTCCTCCTCCTCCTCCTCAAGAGCTAGCCCCAGGCGCCGCCTCCTCCTCCTCCTCCTTAGCTGCCGTCGCCGCCGGTCCTTGGGCTCCAGGTGAGACGCGCTAGCTCCGGGGCCCTCCGCAGCCCTGCGCCCCTGACGCGGTCTCTCCAGCGCTCGCCATGGCTCCCCGGAGCTTGGCTCGGGCTCTTGCGACTCTCGCTGGCTGCAGGACCGAGGGCGCCCAGCTCTCCTTCCCCTCCTCCTCCAGCCTGCGGCCGCCGCTTCTCCCTCCCAGCTCCCCAGCTTCCCGACTGGCCGCCCCGACTCGGTCAGGCTCGGGCGCACGGGGCGCAGAGGGCTGCCGCGTCCTGCCGGACTCGCAGGCTCCCAGCTGCACCTTGTCCCCTCCCGGGCTCTGCCCAGGGCATCTCTCCCGCCCGTCTCGCGCTGTCCCGTCCGGGAGCTGCGCGGAAAGGGGCCTTGGGGGCCCGGCTCCCGTCCTGCCCTGCCGGTAGCATGGGCTCGGGGGATGTCCTGCCTCCGGGACCGCCTTCGCACTTGCCAAGGCTCCCCAGCTAAGACGGGACCAGGGGTACCCTGGGGACCCGAGGAGGGCTGGCCCGAGGTCTACTTTCCTCCCCTCCCCTTCCCTAGCTAGGTCCCAGTTTTTGGCTGGCGCTCTGAAGGGAGGCTGCTTTGGCAGGGTGTCAAGGGCAGGACCTGAGCGTGAGAAAGGGTTCTCAGCATTGGAAGGGAGAGAAGAGAGAGGGAAGAGGAGAAAGAGGAGAGAGAGAAGGGAGGGAAGGAGAGAGAGAGACAGACAGAGTCAGAGACAGAGAGAGATAGACAGGGAGGGTGGGGAAGGATTGTGGGAAATATGGACATCCTCTGTTCATCATCAGTAGGGTCTCTCTTGACCAGCAATGGGACTCTGTTTCATTGTAGGAGCAAGGGAGAGGGGGTGGGCTGGAGTGATGTTTGAGAGGGAATTAGCTAGCCTTGGATGTTGTCTCTTTGCGTATGCTTTCTATTTTTCTGGAGGTTTTAGGATCTTAGATTTAGGGGTGGAATGAACCTTAGAGGTAGTCTAGTTTAACCCATTTATTTTTACAGAGAACCAAGGCCCAGAGATGTTTAGTAACTTGCCTAATGTCACACAGGTAGAACCAAGTAAATCGGGTGTTTTGGTTGTTTTTCAACTGTAAATGGGCTTGCTCCCAGGGTAGCCCAGTAAGGTAGGTACTGTTCCAGTTGTATCCTTCTGTACACTCTTGCCTCTCTCTCTCTTTCCCCTAATTCTCCCCCCTCTTTCTCCTTGCTGCCATTTTTCCTTTCTTCTGGCTCCTGTGGAAATAACATGGATGGCATGAACACTTAGGGACAAACCAGAGAACAGTGGCCTTTCTCCAAACAGCTCCTGAGCGGTTCCCCAACCTACTGGGAAAAATCTCTCCCCAGCCCTATGGGCTCTTGGAAGGAAGGCTGCCAGGCGCCCCAGGGCCCACTTTTTCAGCAGCAGCCAGCTTCCTCTGCCTAGGACTCGTGGGTACATGTCCCAGGCAGAGAGCCAAGGTTCTGATCAGGCTTCTCTGCTTTTCTCCCATGACCTCAGCACTGAATTTCCATAGGGAACTCCTTGAATTTGTGGATTTTGTTAAGGTCAGAACAGTCAAGCGGGGAGCAAATTTGGACAAACATTCTGACTTTAGAGAAGGCATAGCCTCAGAGTTAGGAAGTTGTGGGTTCAAGTCCTGCCTGTGAACACTTTCTAGCTATGTAACCTGGATAAAAGTCACTTAAACCAGGCAAATTGCTAAGACTATGAGTTGCATAACTGTCTCCACTGGTGGTGGGAGTTCCCCACACATGTATATGATGCTTTATGGTTTGCAAAGTGTTTTACAAATGTTATCTCATTTGATCATCACAACAACTATTACCCCCAGTTTACAGAAGAGGAATGTGAGGTTGAATGACCTGGCCATGAATCTGGATCAAAATAAAAACCAAACCATTATGACTCTGATGAGGTTTGGGGTGATCTCTACATAGTGCTTTAAATTTGGCAAAGTTGTTTTGCAAACATATTTGATTCTTACAAGAACTGTGTGAGGTAAGGGCTATTATTATTCTCAATTTACAGATGAGAAACTATACTGTACTACTCACTAGTCTTAGTTTTGCAGTAAAGACAGTGGGGTCATCTGCTGAGGGACATTGTGGGGCTTGAGGGGAAAGGAGAAAGTTTAAAATCATGACTTTTGGAAAAGTGGTGAGGAATCGATGAGAAATGAGTAACAGGCTTGCCACATGGCAGTGAGGACCCAGGATGGGTTACCAATTTGGGTAAAACATGGGATTCATTGAGTCGTATTCTAAGGATGAGCCTGAAACAAAACTGCTCATTGTTTGGGAGGGTCATTAGGGCTTGGTGTTGTGGCCCCAGACTTAAGATGCAGAAAACTTGGATTCAAATTCACCTCTGACATTTATAAACTGGGCAACTCAGGACAAGCTACATAAACTCTCTGAGCCTCAGTTTCTTCGTGTATAAAATGAGGACAATCAAATCTATAGTGCCTGTCTCATAGTGTTGTTGTCAGGATCAAGTGAGACGGATAAGATATATAAAATCCTTCGTACACCCTAAAGTTATATATCTATGTATATATGTATGTATATATATTTTACATGTTAAGACAATTTCTTAAACTTTTTTTTTAAGTTTTGAGTTCCAAATTCTATACGTCCCCTCCCCCATCCTTGAGATGGTAAGCAGTCCAATTACACACACACACACACACACACACACACACACACACACACATCATTCTCATCTGAAAGGTTGATATTTATAGTACTATATGTATTTGGGAAATACTGGATAGAGCAGTAGTGACTGGAGTCAAATGTCCTGGGTTCAATCCTACTTTGGACCCTTTTTTTACTACCTGTATAATCGTAAACAAGTCACTTTAGGTCCTTAGGCCACAGTTTCCTCAATTGTGGAATGAGGGGTTTGGCCTAACTGGCTTCTAAGCCCCTTCCAGCCTCCCATATGTGGCTGATGTGATACCTATCTCATAGGGTCAAAATAAGTTATTTAATAGAGTTAAATTTAGCATATTGAAATGAAAACTGTGCAGGATGGAGGTTGATGGTGTCATAGTTTTTTGTTCTTCATGTTTGCTGATGTCTGTGAAGTTCATAATGAAAATAAAAGAAAAATTTCAAAAAGAAAAGTTATTTCTCTTCAAATAAGTTTTAATAATAGAATTAATTTAAAAATGTTTTTTAATGCATATTAATGGGCTTAAGGGCAGCTACATGGTGCAGTGGATAGAGTGCCAGCCTTAGAGTCAGGAAAACTCATCTTTATGAGTTCAACTCCTGCCTCAGACACTTAATAGCTGTGTGACCTTGGGCAAGTCACTTAACCCTGTTTGCCTCCGTTTCCTCATCTGAAAAATGAGCTAGAGAAGGAAATGGCAAACCACTCCAGGATCTTTTCCAAGGAAACCCCAGTTGGAGTCTTGAAGAGTTGGATATGACTGGAAATGACTGGGGAAAAAAAGACATTTTTCATGAGGTCATAAGATCATAGGTTTGGAACTAGATGGGACCTCAGAGGTCATTTTGTCCAGCTTCCTGATTTTCAGATGAGGAAACTGAGGCCCAGATAGTTGACATGACCTGACCAAAATGGCACAGCTAGCTGTGAGCTGGCCTTTACTCCAGAATTAGTGTACTTCCCACTACCCTACAGTTACCAAAATGAAAAACTTAACCCATCTTTCATACTATTGTATTTCTTTCTTTATAGGTTTTAGACTCTTAAAAACATCACCGGCAGCTTCTGAACCTCTGAGATTAAATTGGTAAAATAACTTTTTTTTAAAAATTTGTCATTATTAATAGAATCAATCTGTAAAATTGTAATCAGACCACACTCTAAGATGACAGTTCCAATTATTAATGAAAACCAGTCCAGACCTCCTTCCCCTTTGGCTCTCTATGGTACCCTAAGCCCTCTGAGCCACAGAGGAGAGAAAATGAGGTCACCACTGTTGACTTCAGGTCAATACTGGACTTCCCCTGTGCATTTGTGATAAGATGACTTTCTAGGCTGGCCTAAGTATATGAGCATCCTTCTAAAATCTACTTTCCCCCTATCTTGTTAGTGAAGGCTAATATTAAAATCAGTGGTGCATTGAATTCCCTCCCCCTCCAACACAATATGGAACAGGTGTCCTGGCAAAAACATTCTTTCCCTATGAGAAAAGTGGGGGAAAAAAGTAGGAAAGTGAATCTGTGGGAGGGAGAGAAGGTGGATCTTTGTAATAAGAAAATGACATTTAATTTTTAAAAAAGTGAATCTGGAATAAGGTCCTTGTAGAGCGTATACTGTATTTGATATATGCAAAGATTCCAACTATTGAGAAATTCACCCTGATGGTTATAAATTAGATAAACTGAGCTTTATAGTCTACTGCCCAGGGTGAGGGTTAGTGTTAGGAAGGTTTTGGAAAAGCACATAATTGATAGGAGTAGTCTGCAGCTCATTACAAATAGGCAAATTGGGAAAGAGAAGTGGAGGAAAAGGTATCATGCAAGCTAATTTTTTTGGGGGGGGAGAGGAAGTGGAAGACACAGTAAAAGGTGTTATTTGAACTTAATTTCTTTGTTTGTTTGTTTATTTGTTTGTTTTAGTCAATTGGGGTTAAGTGACTTGCCCAGGGTCATATAGCTAGTAAGTGTCAAGTGTTTGGTCTGAGATTGGATTTGAACTCAGGTCCTCCTGACTTCAGGGCCAGTGCTCTATCTATGCCACCTAGATGCCCTTTGAACTTAGTTTCTAAGGAAATTAGAGATTTGAAAGAGGCAGAGGTGAGAAACCAGTATATTCCAGGCATGGGGGATCAACCAGTGCAAGGGCATGGAGACTGGAAATGGAGTGTCATGTATGAGGAAGACAAAGACCAGTCTGGCTAGGCTTGTGAAAAGTTCTGAAGGGGACTAATATGTAATGAGTCTGGAAAGGCAAACAGATGACCTAATGTTGGATAATAGAGGTATTGGGAACCACTGGAGCTAGCTTATTGAGTACGGTAGTGACACATGGTCAGACCTGCCCTTTGGGCAGTAATGCCTTTGGCAACTGCTGAGGGCAGATTGGAATGGGGAGAGATCAGGTAGAGAGACCAATTATGAGCCTATTACAGTAATTCAGGTGAGAGGTTATTAAGGCCTTGACTAGCCCACCGTCTATAAATGGAGACCAAGGGAATATCAGGGGTGGGGAAGCTTCAGGCTCAAGGCCACATGTGGCCCTCTGGGTCCTCGAGTGTGGCCCTTTGACTGAATTCAAACTTGACACGTTCACACATTCTGTGAGGTTTGGATTCAGTCAAAGGGTCGAACTTGAGGACCTACAGGGCCACATGTGGCCTTGAGGCACAGGTTTCCCACCTCTCGGATGGATGTAAAAGATGGTGGAAAGTTAGAAATGATAAGATTAGGCAACTGATTAGATATATGGGATGAATGAGAATGAGGAGCTGAGGATTCTATTCTACTCAATTCAGTAAACATTTGTCAGATGCCTACTACATGCCAGGCACTGTGCTAAGCACTGGGGATACAAAAAGAAGCAAAACTAGTCTCTGCCCTCATGGAGCTTATATTCTTATGGGTAAGACAACATGCAAAAATATATATAAAAAGCAAGCTATATACGATGATACCAAGGTTGTGAATTTGAGAGACTAGAAGTATTTTCGGGCCCTTGAAGAATGTAGGAATTTCAGAAGAGGAGGTGGGTTTTGGGGAAAAGTGTTAGTTTTGTTTTGAACATGTTGAATTTGAGATGTCTCCAAGGCATGTAGCTTGAAATGTCTAATAGGAACTTGGTGACTGGGAACTGGAGCTTGGGAGAGAAGCTTGGGTCTAGATATACTGATAGAGATGATAACAAAGCTGTGGGAGTGGATGAGATTGTAAGAAAGAAGGTGTAGAGAGAGAAAAGAACTCACAACAAGGCCCCGGGGGGGGGGGGGGGTGGAGAACACCCACTCTTAAAGGATGTGATACAGAGGATGAGCCAGCCCATTACATAAACTCATGATGATCATAGAATTCTAGTTCTGGAGTTAGGACAGACCTTTATGGTCTTCTCATCCAATCTCCTCACTTGAGGAAACTTCAGGTAACAGCCAAGATGGGAACCTGGGTCCTTTGACTCCAAATCCAGTCCTTTTTGAGTGCTTAGTCATCGATGCCCTTTAATAGAACTGAGGGAAGCGAATTAATGATGCATTTCCATTTGAATACAGACTTTCTTCCTTGGTTATGATGCTAAGGCTGCTTGTGTTTGGGGTGCTGCTTCATGACATGCTGGGGAGCAACCAAGATGAAACTTCTCACCTGAAAGGCCTTCCAGGGGCATTGTCATCCACCTACTGGAGCCTTCACTTGCCTGAAGAGCACATCCCTTACTTTCTCCACAACAATAGACATCTTGCTGCAGTCTGTGACAAAGACCCACAATGCCCTTACAAAGTACGTCTTTTCCCCCTCTGGCTTGTTTATAGAAAGATGTTGTTTCACGGCGTTTATTGTTGTTGGTTTCAAGGCCTGCTGGTTTTTTGACCTCTGGGTTGAAATGCGTCACTTGCCCCAAGTGACTTACTGCTTAGACTTCAGTGGATGTTTTTAAATTACCAACCTCTTATTCTATTTCTTTTCCATTACGAGAGACGTGAAAGTAATAACTGACACATGTAGCACTCTAAGGTTTGCAAAGCACTTTGCGTACGTCACATCATTTGATCTTCAAAATAAACCTGAGGTAAGTGTTACTACTCCTACTTTATCAATAGCAAAATGTACTTTGGAAGTGGTTGAGGGTCCATAACTGTAATTTGATTGATGTGTGGTTGTAGTTGTTGAGTTGTTTCAATCATGTCCAACTCTCTGTGATCCCATTTGGGGTTTTCTTGGCAGAGATACTAGAGTCGTTTGCCATTGCCTTCTCCAGCTCATTTGACAGATGAGGAAACTAAGGCAAACAGGGTTAAGTGACTTTCCTAGGGTCGCCCAGCTAGTAAGTGTCTGAGGCCAGATTTGAACTCATAAAGATGAGGCTTCCTGACTCCACCTAGCACTCTATCCACTGTGCCACCTAGACTTTGGATTAAAAAACACCTTTCCCCAAAGCATAACAATAACTCCTGAAGTTTAGAGTGCTGGATGGTTGCTAGGCACTGAGACATTGAAGGACATCCCCATGGCCATGCATTTATTCGTGAGAGGCAGGACTTGAGAGGCAGAGGGGGTTCAGTGGAAAGAGAGTTGAATTTGGAGTCAAAGTGCCTGTGTTCAAATTCTGACTTTGACACTTTCTACCCAGGTGACTGTGGACAAGCCGTTTATCTTTTCAGGGCCTCAGTTTCCTCATGGGTTGGACTTTGGCCTCTAAGATCCTTTCTGTCTCTAAATCTACGATCCTATGATCTGAATCCAGGCCTTCTGGATTCCAGCTTTTTATCTACTAAGGTACACTGGCTTTCAAAATGCATGTAGAGAGTGCTTAATAAGTGCATGCATATATCTATTACCCACATGCATAGATCCTGTGCCCAGCAAATAAATATAGCACATGATGATGGAAGGATCATAAATCTAGACCTTGAAGGGGCCATCTAGCTCAACTCTCATTTTACAGAGGAGGAACTGGACCCTAACGAGGTGATCTGACCGGCCTTAAGTCCCATAGGGATTAAACAGTTAAAATAGGATTGGAACCTAGGTTGCTACTGACTCCAAGCCAGTGCTCCATGGGCCACCTCTCAACTTTTAAAAAAACAGCCCCAAACTATCCAATACACAAATTTTCAGAAAACCTGCGATGGCATTCACTGTCAAAACATGATTTCTGCACTTTGCAGAGGAAGCAAAATGTGTCACTTTGAAGGAAGAGATCCTCACTGAGGTGCTGAGGTATCTCCCGCATCTCTCTGAAGCTTCCTTGAAACCCACGGCCCCAGTGTTAAAGTCTGTCTCTTGGCGGTGTTCATGTAATTAAGATGACAACTGCTGTGGCCTTCTTTCTGTTTAAGTGGTGTTGGAAATGACTCAGTTTGGAGCCCATGAAGACATTGTTTCGTTGCCAGAAAGATCAAAGCTGCGTGTTGTCAGGCTTCCCTTCCCAGGCTTGTTAGCACAGGAAATGAGGTGGGGAAGGGCTGCCTGGGAATCGAGAAGAATCCCGCCTGTGACCCAGCAGGAGAGCTGCCATCCAAGCTCATGGACAAGGGGCAGCCTCTGTGTTTTCTAGCAGCAAACTCATGCTTCTCTTTTGGACCCAGTGTTGGCCTTCATGATCAGTGGTGTTGCTGATGTCTTGACTTTGATTATGTGTCCATCTTTTCTTTCCCTTTCACAGGGAAAACTGGGGAATCTTGCAAATACAACTGCAATTGAAAAGAATCTCTGCGGGACTAAATTTAGGGCTAGTCTGCCTACCCCAGGGGCCATTTTTGTTAATCTGCATCAAGAAATTCCTTTTAAATGGGCCTAAGGGGCTACAGGTGTGATGGTATTTCTTGGCAAACCAAGCAATGAACATTCTTTGGGGGAATGGTGATGAAAATAATCTGAGCATATTTTATTTTGAAGAATAATTTCTTTTGTATTTTTTTTTCAAATTATCTTCATTTCCAAATATATCCTTCTCCCCGACCCCTGGCCCACCCCCACCCCCACACCCCAATTGCTCATAACAAAGAATTTTTTTTTCACTTTTTTTTTTTTTAGATAATTGAGGTTAAGTGACTTGCCCAGGGTCACACAGCTAGTAAGGACAAAGAATTTTTTAAAAGGAGAGGGGAGCAGGTAACAGTTCAACAAAACTAACCAACATATCAGTTAAGTCTAACAGGGTATACAGTACTCCAAACCCATAGTCCCCCCTTCTGCAAAGAAGGGAGAGTGATACATTTTCTCCTTTCTTCTTTGGACCGAGCTTGATCACAGATTACACAGCACTTTTTTTGTTTTGTCCATTTACGTAGTCATATCTGCTTGTTTCACTTCCTGTAAACCTTCCTATATGTCTTTAAATTTTTCATGTTCGTCATTTCTTAGACTGTACTAATATTCTGCTACATTCACATATCATACTTTGTTTCCCCATCGCCCCAGTTCATGGTCACCTTCTTTGTTTCCAGTTCTTTCCCCTTCAAAAAGTTCTGCTATAAATATTTTAATGTGTATAGATAGGACTTTTCTATTTTTGACCTCCTTGGGGCATATGTCTAGCAGTGATCAGCATGTTTGGGTCAGAGCATGTTTTTTTCAGATAACTTTTAAAAATGGAGAATGTGTAGCCTTTATTTCTAAGACCCTAGTCTTGATATTGATGGCATTTCTTTTCTTTATTTTTTTAAAGTTAATTTATTTTGATTTATCAACAATCAATTCCATAAGCTTTTGAGTTTTAAATTTTTCTCCTCCTCTCTCTCCATCTCCCTCCCCCAGACAGTGCGCGATCTGATATAGGCCATACATATACATTCCTATTAAACATATTTTCACGTTAGTGATGTTGTAAGGAAGAATTAAAACCAATAGGAGGAATCACCACAGAGAGGAAACAAAACACAACAGAAGAAAAAAAAATAGCAAATAGTATGCTTCCATCTGCATTTAAACTCCATAGTTCTTTCTTCTTTGTGAATAGCATTTTCCATCATGAGGCCTTTGGCGATGTCTTAGATCCTTGTATTAGGTTAAGTCTATTAATATTAGTCATCGCACAGCATGGCTGTTACTGTGTACAATAACAGTATAATAACAATAATATAAATATTTATTTAATATATAATATTATGTTTATATAATTTATATAATAAATATTATAAATAAATATAATAATATATAAATATTTTTGTACATGTGGGTTCTTTTCCCATTTGTGTGATCTCTCTGGGATACAGCCCTAAAAGTGCTATTGCTGGGTCAAAGGGTATGCACATTTTTATAGCCCTTTGAGCATAGCTCCAAATTGCTCTCCAAAATGGTTGGGTCATTTCACAACTCTACCAACAGTGCATTAGTATTCCAATTTTCCCATCTTCTCCAACCCTTATCATTTTACTGTTATGTCATATTGACCAATCTGATAGGTATGATATGGTACCTCAGAGTTGTTTTGATTTGCATTTCTCTAATCAATAATGATTTAGAGCATTTTTTCATATGGGCATTTCTTTTCTTAAAATGATTCTAGAAGAACTCAGTCTCCTCTAGGGCAGAGACTCTTGGTTTTTGTCTTTCTATCCCTCTCACTGAGGACAGTGCTTGGTGCCTAGGAGTCTATGGGCCCAGCAGTGGTATTGATTAGTCAATACACAGTTTAGTGACTTTTTAGGTACAGTTCCATATTTCTTTCTAGATCAATTCCCAGTTCCACCAACAGTACATTAATGCACCTGCCCTCTCATGGCGTCTCCAGCAATGATCATTTTCATTTTTGGTCACTTTTGCCAATCTTATAGGTATTTTGTGGAACCTTGGAGTTATGTACATTTGAATTTCTCTATTAGTGGTTTGTAGAATTTTTCATATATTTGTTGGATTTCTTCCTATGAAAAATGTTTTTACATATCCTTTAATAATGAGGGATGGCTTTTATTTTTATATATTTGAACCCATTCCTTCTGTATCTTGAATATGAGACTTTTATCATAGAAACTTGCCACAAAAATTTCCCCCTTTAACCTACTTTCATTCTAATTTTGACTGCATTAGTTTTGTTTGTGGAAAACTTTGAAAATGCCCTATAATCAAAATTGTTCATTTTATCTTTTATGATCCTTTTAATCTCTTATTTAGTTATGAGAAATTGTTCTTTTTTTTTAACAGATAGCTTGCATCCAAATGGGATTTGAATGTTAGTAGAAGATAACAGTGTGTAAAATCATGATTCTGTTTCTATTTCAGAAACATTTAAAGCATCTTGAATCCTGCTGGGGCTATGAGAAATCATGCAGGCCAGAGGCTCGGTTTGGCTATCCTGTTTGTAGTTATGTGGATATGGGATGGTAAGTTTCTTCTCTCTCTTCTTCTCTTCTGTTTTTAAAATCTTGTATTTTTTCCTCTTAACTGTGTCTATTATTTTCCTAGATGCCCAACCAATCAATAATTGAGTATTTATTAAGTACCTGTTACGTTTCAGAAACTTTGCTAGGTAGATATTCAAGGTAGCTGCAAAAGCTGCCCCACCTGTTAACAAATCTGGCTCCCTCTCTTCCCCACCCTTGAGAGAGAGACCTGTGATATTCTTGTGGATTCCTAGGGGCAAAAACAGTGACCTTATGGAGACTTTTCTCTCTGTAATATTCGGGAAGATAAAACACTAGCTCCATACCAATTCTAAAGAGGAAAATTAAGTATAAAAATCTTTTAAAAACTTATTAAGTTAATGAAGTAAAACTGTACAAATTAGCAGCCTGTTATCTTAGGTTCCAGGGTATAATTCATTCATTTCCACTTTGGATTTTATTATGAAGCCATGAATGTTTACTAAGGCTTTATTCTTATCTTCATGATCACTATTGGGTATCTTTTAACTTTAGGAATTAGAAAAATAAAAATTAAATATATTTTTATAAAAAGGATAAATATTCTGAACTTTTAAAAAAATTAGGACTAATACCATTGAATCAGCTCAGGAGATATTCTGGAAACAAGCAGATTTTGGTTATGCAAAGGAGCGCCTGCATGAATTACGGACCCTCTGCCAACCTATGGAAACAGTAGGTATTTTGGTCTTTAAAAACCTGTTTTTCTTCATTTCAAAAACCATCTGAATTCCAGTTTTTAAGAAAAATCATAGATCATACTGTGGAGTGTATCCTTATGATATAGAGAAGGATTTGTTAATATGGATATTTCTTTAATTTGTATCAAAATCTCCCACTAAAACTCCCTCAGCCTCCCTTTTCCAACCCACATACACAGTAGCAATAGAGACAGCATGGTGCGGTTTACTCTCTGAACCTATTTAGTTAGTGATAGTTGGGTTGTACTCTATGGAGATGGGAGGGAATTCCTATGCCCAAAACACAGATCCTTGAGATATTGATCATAGTGATAATGCTTTGGATTTAAGGAGCTTCTTCCTTCTGGAGAATGTTTAAACATGTTCAGGGATTTTATTATGATTTCTCTTTATAATTTCCCTCTGAAGTAGTCTGGGAATAGGCAATGTTCTCTTCATTTTGTCAATGGCTATTGAATGGGTCACCCAGAGCCATTGATTCATCAGTTTGTGAAGGTTGGGCCCAGGTTTCCAAATTTGGTAAGGTAATATTTAAATCTCCTGATCCCAGCTTGGGGTTTGTGTGCCCATCAGATCCCAGGAGCCCAGCCCTCGAGCTGGAAAAGACCTCAGAGGCCATGGAATCCAACATCCTCATATTTACATGTGAGAGAATGGAGTTGCAGAGAAGTTAAGTAATTAACCCAAGATGTCTCCCATTATCTCTAGAAGAGACTGTGAAATTAAAAAAAAAAAATCCTGAACCAAATTAATTCAAATTATATGAAATTATAAAGCTCTACTCCCTCTCTTCCCCCAGTAATTTGGAATAGTTCAATAGTAGTTCCCCTAAATGAATAATCATAGCACAAAACTGAGCTGGCTCCTGCAGGGCCTGAGTTAGTTTTGTGCTAGTAATAGTCATGTTGCCATACTTTGGCCAGAGAGAGACTAGCAACAGATCTGTGGATGACTTGGGGAGACTTTTCGGCTTATTTTGAATGGCATCTTCCGAAGTGGTGGGCCAGATATTATATGACCCCATATGGGGTCATGACCCACAGTTTAAGAAGTGCTAAAGAGGTCTGGAATGGAAAAGTTTGAGAATTCCTGAAGTCTGTACCACCAAAATGGCATGTGTAATGTTTTTTCTCCTACGGAAATTGGGGAGATGTATCTCATGAAAAACTTTTAGAGTTGTGAATTTCTCTAATTATTAATGATTTGTAGCACTTTAAAATATATTTGTTGATAGTTTGAATTTATTCCTGTGCAAACTGCTTTTGCATATCCTTTGAGACTGAGAAATGGCCCTTCTTGTTTCTTGCTTATTCCTTCAGGGTGATTCGTGGCTAGTTTGCTCCCGCTACCTTCAGTACTGCAGAGTATCAAACTTATACATTGATCTAAGACAGGTGAAGAGAAATCATGACAGGTACTTTTGTGGCTCCGCTAAGTTCTGATGGACCCAATCAATCAACCCATAAACATTTATTAAGTGCCTACTATGTTCTAGGCACTGTGCTAAGTGCTGGGGATGCAAAACAAGGTGAAAGGCAGTCCTTTCCCTCAAGGAACTTACAATCTAACAGGAGATACAACCTGCAAACAAATAGATGCAAAGCAGACTATCTAAATAGGAAATAATACAATTATTCCTTCCACATCATGGGGGTTTGGGGTGCAGTGCCCCTGCAATCTGGAAAATCTGCATAAAAATTTTTGGCCCATACTTTGTATCAGAGAAGAAGTCTGAATTTTTTCTTTTTCTTAAATTTGGATTGATATTATATAATACTAAACATATATTTTATGCATTTCTGAGTTTCTAAACTTTTTCTGTGCTGTCTGCTGGCCTTCACTTGTTGTCTGCAGCTTCTGCAAAACTCTCCAAAAATTCCCATTTAATTTCTTCGAGGGGTGGGGAACCTGTGGCCTCCAGGCTACATGTGACTCTCTAGGTCCTCAAGTGCGGCCCTTTGACTGAGTCCAAACTTCACAGAACAAATATCCTTAATAAAAGGATTTGTTCTGTAAAACTGAGTCCAAGCTTCATAGAACAAATTCCCTTAATAAAAGGATTGTTCTGTAAAACTTGGGCTGCACTATAGGACCTAGAGGGCTACGTGTGACTTTGAGGCTGCAGGTTCCCCATCCCTGTATGCCAACCCATGGTACATGAAAATGGCAATGGGGAAGGTTGAGATATGGAAGGAATAATTGTAGAGGGAAGGCACTGGAATTTAGAGATATTGAGGAAGGCTTACTGTAGAAGGTGGAAATTTAGTTAAGACTTGAAGTAAGGGAGGTCAGTAGTGAGAGCAGTGGGGGAGGGAGGCATTCCAGGCATGGAGGATGGCTAGAGAAAATGCCTGGAGCTGAGAGATGAGAGATGAGTGTCTTGTTTGTGGAGGTCGGTGTCACTGGATTGTATTGAATGTGTATTGAAAAGTAAGGTGTAATTAGGTGTAAGAAGACTGGAAAGGTAGGAGGGAGCTGGGTTATGAGCGGCTTTGAATGCCAAACTTTGACCAAAATGCCAAATTTTTATTTGATCCTGGAGGTGATAGGGAGCCTGTCAACTCTGCTAGACACAAATATCTTAGGAGGTTGGAGATCAAAACCACCTGTGTTTTGAGATTCTGTATGGAGTACATACATTTATTGTTGAGAGTATCTACTACTCGTATCTACTTCCATACCTTCTATTCCTGTCAAACTGGTCTCTTTGCTTTTCTATAGATTTGGTGCTCTCTCTCCCATCTCCATACCTTTGCATAGGTTGCCCCTTACCTGGAATGTGATTCCTCATGACCTCTGACTTACACTCATGGGCTTCCTTCAAGGTTAGCTTTGGGAAGCCTTTCCTTATCCCCCTACTTGTTAGGGTCTTTCCCTACTGAAATTCTGTTGTGTTGATTGATCTTTAGAGAGGCAAGAAGGCTAGGCTTCAGGTCTCACCTCTAATACAGACCTGCTGTGTGACTCTGGGCAAGTCCCTTAACCCCTAAGTGCCCCAAGTAACTCTCTAATACTGTAAGTTGCAGAACAATTGCTGATCTCCATTGGTAGAGAGAACTTTCTCACTAGGAGTTCCCTATACCAAGGAAATCACAAATTGGATTTAAAAAAATCAATTTAATGGCCTCAGACACATGGCACTCACTAGCTGTGTGACCCTGGGCAAGTCACTTAAACCCATTGCCTAACCAAAACCAAAAAAAAAAAATTGCATATCCTTTTAACCCTGATTACCTCACCAAAAAGCAAAAACAAAAACACAAAAAACAAAAATAACAAAAAATCCTCCCTCAAAAATCAATTTAAATATTTTATTCTCTCAGCAGAATATAAGCTTCTTGAGGGCAGGAATGGTTTTCCATTGTGTCTTTGTGTTCCCAGCAGCCAGTGTAGGTCTTGTACCCACTAAGTGGTTAACAGTGCTTGTTGGATGGAATTGAATGTGCACATTTTGATCTTGTCGATGTATTAAGTCATATCAGAAACTACTGAGAGTTAACTTGATGTTTGTTTATTGTGAAACAGATTTAAGGAAAACTTCCTACAGAAAGGTGACATAGGAGGTCATTGTAAACTTGATGTTGACACATTGATATCTGAAGGTCAAAGGAAAAGCCCACTACAATCCTGGTAAGTGTGAAAAAAAAAATCTCTCTCTATGGATATATATTCTTGATAAGCATGCATGGATTATCTATCTGTCTATCTATCTCTCTAGCTCTCTATCTATCCATCTATCTATCTATCTATCTATCATCTATCTATCTATCTATCCATCTATCCCATCTCCTCCTACTCCATCTGTATCAATGAGATCACAGGTCCTTTTGAGCATTTGAGTATATGGAGAGAGGGATAGGGATTGGGCCTGTGATTGCATAGGTATAGGGATACCAATGTATATTTCCAGATGAGGAAACCCCTCCTCCTAATACAAGTTAGGGCCTTCTCTCCAACTCATAGCCTAAGAGAGTTGCCTCGAGCTTTGGGAGGTTAAGGGGCCTCCCCAGGGTCACACAGTTGGTACATGTCAGAGTTAGGACTTAAACCCAGCTCTTCCTAGATCTGAGACCAGCTTTTTCTCCAAATTGTTTTACAGCCATGCAGAAATATTCTCAGATTTTGGTGTGGCATTTTAAATTAGGAAGATATCAACATATTTCTAGAAAAGACAGAGCTGGGCTTATAAAGAGACTCTCTCACATTATACCCCAAGGAAACATATGTTTATTAGAAATTCAAGGTAGATGAATATCTGTAACAACACTTAATTGATTATAAATACCAATGAGGATTAGATTAGTATTTACCAATTAGATTTCATTAGAGAGTATCTGTGACTTCATACTTTGTCAGTGATGGGAGGGATACAGATGAGAGAATCTCAGAGCTGAAAGGGCCCTCAAAGACCATGGAAGCCAACCTGTAGCTGGATGAGAATTCTCCTTACAGGACCCCCAGCAAGTGGTCATTTAATTTTTGCTTCATGATCTTTAGTAAGGGGAAAACCCAAGGCAGCCCATTTGCCTTTTGGGTAGCATGGATGATTAGGAAAATTTTCCTGTCATCAAGCCACCTTTTTGGGTATAAAACCTGAGGCCAAAGGAATTCTGTAACTGAGTGATGAGTTTCACAGTCTCCAGGAGTGAAAGGAATGCAGTGGTGTCTGTTTATGATATCGATCTTGGAGTAAGAATAGTAACATCTTTGTGTGGCAAACCATGATGTAACTGTTTTCTATGGTTCGTGAGTGCAGTGTTATGGGGCACAGTTTGAGTCATAGCATCTAGGAAGCAATGGAAAGCAAGCTGGACGCAGAGTCAGAGGACCTGGCTTCTGAGCCTGCTTCTGCCATTTAGTACTTTTGTGACCTGGGGCAAGCTATTGGATTTCTGGGCCTCAGTTTCCTCATTTGTAAAATGAGAAGGTTGTACTGGGTGATTTCTGAGGTCCTTTCCAAATCTGGAGCTGTGAGGCAAATGTAGTATTACAGTTCAGTATTCCGTACATTTGTTTTTTGAAAATAAAGATTTCTTTGTGATGAGTTATGTAAGTTTCTCATGATGTTTTTTTGATGTGGCTTTTCTATTTATGCTGAAACAGACTTCATTTACATTCAAGGAAATTATGCTATATAACCTGGGACAACGCTTTCCAAGAGAGAACTGATGATCCATTTTTTTTCCCAGTAGAAACTGAGATGTGTTACTATATTCTTTGTCTTTTTTTCTTTTTCTTTTGGCTAGGGAATGGGGTTAAGTGACTTGCCCAGGGTCACACAGCTAGGTAAGTGTCAAGTGTCCGAGGCTGGATTTGAACTCAGGTCCTCCTGACTCCACTGCTGGTGCTCTATCCGCTGTGCCCCCTAGCTATCCCTGTGTTGCTATATTCTTGAGGCACCTGATAATCTTGAGTTGCTATCTTTCTCAGAGAAAATGGGACCTTAGAGGCCAGGGTTCAACTATCTCATTTTACAGATGAGGAAACTGAGGCATTAAGAGGTGAAAGAACTTGGTCCTGACCCTTTCACAAGTCCCTAACTCCTGTCCTTGGGTACCCTGCTATCCTGATTGGTAACTGGCCAATTATTTCAGGTGGGCCCCAACCATGCTTCACTTTACTCTCCATTCCTAGGCCATCTTTACCCCAGCCATTTTGCCACCAGGGCCTTGGTCCTGAGCTCCTCCCTCCCCAACATGTAATTCTGAAACCATCATTTAGTCAATATTTTCATTGCTCCTGAGAAGGCTGTGCCAATCTCTTCTAGCTCCACTCTACTCACTATTCCTGTTACTTTCCAAACCAAAGTACTCTTCCTTAGTTACTATTCTCCTCAGGTATGATTTTTCATTATTAAGATATGATATGATATAATAGAATACATATAATATAACACAATATGATATAACACAACACAATAAGATATAATATAATATAATATAACATAACATAGCATGACATATCATGTAACATAACAATATATTATATAAGATAACATAACATGATATAACATGACATAATACAACATAATATCATAAATATAATATATAGTATTGTATAATGTAATATAAGTTTGTTGAAGTCAGGGTCTGCCTTTGCTTTGTGTTTATACTCTAAGGCACATAATAAGTGCTTTAACAAATGCTTTTTTATTTATTCATTTTAGTTATTCCTTGCTTATGGTCACCCAACTAAGTGTCTCAGGCAGGTTTCAAGTCCAATTTTTTCTCACTTCAAATCCAGTACTGTATTCCCTAAGGCACGTTCATTTTTCCTCTACCTCTGACTCAGGGAAACCTTCCTGACTCTTCAGGCTCCAGGCTACTTAGCCTTAAATTGCTTAAATCTTTATTTTTCAAACAATGTTACATCAGAATGTAACTCACTGGTTTTTAAATTTAGTTTAATTGTTCAGTAGATTATATTTTATATCCTCTTGTATATTTTGTGTCTTAAAGTTGAACATCAAGTTACTTAGATACAAATTGTAATGATTGTAAGGAATCTATCTATATACTTGTTAGAGTCCCAAGTTGTTGATGTAGAAGGATAAGGAATACCTCTAATTTGCTGGACTCTTCTTCTGGAGAGGAAAGAGCTGTTTACTTCTTGGATTAAGCGTAAATTAGCCTCTTGTAACCTCAAAGCACTACCTTAGTTTCATTGGAGTAATTAATGTTGGCTATCTGAGATAGGTAATCTGTTTCCTGTAGACTTGTAAGTTACTAGCTTGCAATTGGAGTCTCAGAAGCTGAAGCATATCATAACTGATCATTTCAGGTTTGCTGAACTACAAACATACACGGAGCTAAGCTTCAAACCTATCGAAGACGGCAAGTGTGACATCATAATTGAAAAGCCAACCTACTTCATGAAGTTAGATGCAGGTAATGGATGGCTTTTCTGTCTGCTCCTTTTGAAGATGCCTCTTTCGTTTCTGAGCTGGTGTAGGGAGATGTTTCTCATTGTTAACAATGAAGATGCTGTGTATTCCGTAGTGGTCACCTATGATGATTTCCTTTGGCCACCAAAGTGGAAATATGGGAATATCAATTGGGGTTGAAAATTCAACTTGGGCAGTGATAGGAGCAGTGAATTTCTTTTCAATCTGTTGTAGTTAAATGAAAGTAGGGTATGTCTCTGGGGAAGGAGCTAAACTGGTGAGAACTTCTTTTCTCTGTCATATCTTACAAGGAAGATTCTTCAAAGTGACATAGCTGTCCAGTCTTCTTCTTTTGATTGTGCTTCATGAAAACTAATTTCATTAAAAGTCATTTTCATTCTCAGGGTGGGCAAAATACTTTTTAAAACCTTTTCAAGGTGAGCTTTCTAATTTGGTTTTTTTTTTGTGACTGAAGGATTCACTCCTGTGAATTTTGAAAAATAAAATGATATTTTTTCCCATAAAGAGCTGTGTCTTTTGACTACAAACCTATTATTTTAATTTTTAAAATCATGGCCTACTTCTGAGGTTGAAGTGTTGAGGCTGTAATACATTATCTCCCTCATTATGAGAGGCGGATTACTCTGCTACACCTGATCAAAATTCATGAGAGGCTGGGCTTAAAGTAAAATATAGAGAACTGTCTGTCATGAATCTTTCAGAATTATCACAATTTATTGATCATATTTTTAATGTGCTCCGCCTTTTGAAGACATAATTCTTGTGTAAGAAAGTTTCGGGTTTAGAACTCAGACAAACTCAGGTGGTTTTTTTTTTTTTTAAAGTAGGCACAGCAAATAAAAATGAAATGATCAAGATTCTGACTCATTAAATAAAAAATGCAAATTAAAGATGCACAAGAAAAAGTCTGTGAAAGAACTAACTCTGCAGTGAACATTTGAAATTTATGTACATGCTGACAAAAGTCTTCCAAGTAAAAGCAAAATGCTAGTGTGGAGATATCCTATTTCTTTTCCAGATTCCTAACAACTAAGGTCAAAACTAGGGCAGAACAGCTGGGGCTTCGCTCTAGACTCCTAAAGTTTAGAGGGTGCTGATAGCCTTTGCACTTTTTTGGCATTGAAAGAATTGTGCTTAGCACCCAGTTAGTGAGGATAATTAAAATAGGAAGTTACTAGATGACTCATTCCCTCCTACCCCCTGCTCACGTCAGCTTCTACTTGACCTGTTCACTTCTAGTGGCAGCTTCCTTGTATGGAGGTGGGGGGAAGGGAGGAGGAGGAGGTACACCTCCCTCTCCCCCTTTCCCTTTCCCATTCTCCCTCCCTATCCCACATTGACCTGGTTATGGCTCTAACACCATATACGAACCATGATTGCCACTTGGCTTTTTTAAAAAAATTTTTGTTAAAACTTGGGTTATGAGTTTCAGCATCTTTAAGCATAAGATTTATTTGACTACAAATTCCTCAGAGGGGATAGGGCCTGTGTTTTCTCCTTTTTTTTTTTTTTTTTTTTGCTATTCTCTAGAACATCTTACATAGTTTGGGGACCACTGAAGGGCCCCAAGAAATATTGCTAATACACTAAATGATGAATAAATGGGTTATTTACCAGGTACTAAGTTCTTGGAATACAAAACCAAAAGTTGCGCAGTCCCTGGGCTCAAGCAACTTGCATTTTAATAGATAATATTTATATGAATATATTTACAGATATTTATATTAGGATGTGAGGCCAGTGTTCTGGACCCTTTGGCCAGTCTGGTGAAGCCTATGGAACTAAGAACAGTGTTTTTAAATGTATAAAATATAATACATAGGATTACAAAAAAACTATAATGAAATACAGTTCAAATATATATATTTAAAGTTCATGGAAATCCAGCCTCAAATGCTCAGATGCTTTGTAATCCTGCACAATTCATGTAACCTCCCTAAGCCTCAGTTTTCTTGTCTATAATATGGGGATAATAGCACTTACCTCACAGAATCGTTGTGGAGATCAAATGAGTCAATGTATGTAAAACACTATACACATGCAGGCTCTTATTATTAGTTTAAGAAGCCATAGTGAATTAATTTTAAGAAAAGAGTTAGTTACACCCTAACTGGTATGGGATTAATCTGGGATCTGGAAAATAGTTTTTGTTTGTTTGTTTTGTTTTTTGTCTTTGGAAGTGTGATTTCATTGTTTTAGGGAGCTCCCTCTGCCAAGTCCAATTGGCATTAGAGAGGGCACATAGTCAGTATGTGTTAAAGGCAGGACTTAAGCCCAAGTCTTTCTTATTTTGTGGCTAGATCTCTAACCACTACTTCGTACTACCTCTCATTTGGAAAATATGAAAATATACCCTTTGTGAAAATGCAGCAAATCTGTATCTGAGAGGGTGTAATTAGAAGAACTGATTATTCTTATGGTTGTCATTTGTTTCATTGTAGGAATAAAGCCATAATGCTTTATGTTTTCAGGTGTTAAAAGGCACAATGTTTCATTTTATATTCAACATTTGCCTCCTTTAAAATATGTATGTTTAAAATGCTAATCTTTGGGGTTCGATTTAGCCTCCCAGAATTCTGCAATAGCAGACTTCAGAGCTGGTTTACAGAAAGATGAGAGCATGGATCCAGATTTTTAAAGTGCAGGCAAGTGACCTTTAGAATACAAAAGCCTCAGTGTCCCTACCCCCCCCCCCCCCCATACCTAGTGTATCCTGCTTTTACTTAGCCCTTCCAGGATGGAGATACCTCCACAGGGGCAGGATGGGAGAATTTCTCATGTCCTGAGTTGTAACTTGGTAGGGATTTCCCTATAGAAGCAATGTTCTAAATGGTGGTTATATTCTGTTGTACCATCTATACTGTAGTTCAGCTCCATTGTGGATTAAATCAGTTTAGCACCATTCATTGATTCAGACCTGGAAGAAACCTTAGAAGTCATGAATCCCACCCCCACCCCATTTTAGGTGTGAAATAACTGAGAAGAGAGAGGTCAGGTGACTTGCCCAAGGACTCAGAAGTGGCTGAACTGGGATTTGAACCCAGGTCCTTTGCCTCCAAATTCACATTTCCTCTTGTGGCCTGGGCAGGGGACCCAATTCCCATTTGCCTATGGTACTTCAGGACTCTGTGATTTTTATCAGTCATTCAGTCAGCAAATGCCAGGCACTGTGCTAAGTGCTAAGAATACAAAGAGAGACAAAAACCAATCTCTGCTGTCAGGGAGCTTACAGTTGAAGGACATCATGCAAACAACCAAATAGAAAGAAGCCATAGACAGGAGAGTTTGGGGGCAGTCTCAAAGGGAAGGCCCAAGCTTAAGGAGGCCTTCTTGCAGAAGGTGGGGCTTGAGCTGAAGCTTGAAGGAAGCCATGGGGTGGAGATGAGGAGGGAGAGTGTTTCAGGCATGGGGGACGGCTGGGGGAAATGCTTGAAGTCCAGAGATGGAGGGCTGTATTTGAGGAACAGCAAAGAAGCCTGTGTCACTGGGCTGTAGAATGCTTGCAGGGGAGTCAGGTGTAAGGAGACCGGAAAGGTAGTAAGGCGCAGGTTGTGCAGGGAATTAAAAAGCCAAACAGAGGGTTTTCTGTTTGATCCTGGAGGCAGTAAGGGACCACTGGAATTTAGTGAATATGGTGGGGACGAGGGCCTACCTGTTCTTTGGGACGAACAATTCAACAGCTGAGCGGGAGATAGATCAAAGAGAGGAGAGAAGAGGCAGGGAGACCAATGAACAGGTGATCGCAGGTATCCAAATACGAGGTGATAGGGGACAGCATCAGGGTCCTCGCAGTGTCAGCAGAGAAGAGATTGTATAGGAGAGATGTTGTGAAGGTAGCAATAACAGAAATGGACAGCTGATTGGATGTGGGGGTTACCTCAATTACCTTTGGCACAGAAGCAGTGTGGTACGGCAGTGACTTGGCTTCAAAGCCATTCTGATACTTATTGCCCATGTGACCTTGGACAAGTCACTTCTATTTCCTGGACCCCAATTTCCTCTTCTCTAAAATGAGGACAGTGGACTAGTTGGCCTCTGTGACCTCTTCTAGCTGGAAATCTGCGAGGAGCCTCTGAACCTTTCTGGGTCCCAGTTCCCCATCTGTAAAGCTAGATGGCCCTGGAGGTCCTTTTGAACTCGAAATCTAGGATTCTTGATTCTTTTTGGTTAATGATAGATTTCTTTTCTTCAATACCAGGTGTTAACATGTATCACCACTTCTGTGATTTTATCAATCTCTACATTACTCAGCACGTTAACAATTCCTTCAGTACAGATGTCAACATCCTCATGTGGGATACTGTGAGTAAGACTACGCTGTGTCCAAGGCACTGCTTCCTTCAGTTCTCCCCTCCTCTCCTTCCCTCTCTTCCTCCTTCTCTATCCTCTTCTCTCTCTCATTCTCTCCCTCGTTTCTCTCTGTCCCTTCTCCATCTCTTGTTATCTCCTTGTCTTTCCCTCTCATTCTCTCCCTCTGTCTTTCTCTCTCATTCTCTCCCTCCCTCCTCTTTCATTCTCTTCCTCCTTTCTCTTTCTCTCCCTCCTTCTTATTTCTCTCTCATTCTCTCCCTTCTTTTTCTCCTTTCTTCTTCTTCTCTCCTCTCCTCCTCTCCCTCTCCTTCTTCTTCTTCCTCTTCTTCTTCTCCTTCTCCTTCTTCTTCTTTTTCTTCTTCTTTTTCTTTTTCTTCTTCTTCTCCTTCTTCTTTTCTTCTTCTTTTTCTTCATTTTCTTCTTCTTCTTCTTCTTCTTCTTCTTCTCTCTCTCTCTCTCTCTCCTTCTCTTTCTCTCTCCCCTTTCCTCTCTTCTTTCCTCTCCCTTTCTGTTTTTCTTTCAGTGTGAATATAATGGAATGTGACTGACTTCCTTGAGACACACATAAATATGAACGTTTGTCCTTCATGATTGACAATGATACTGTTGAAGGTAGAGAACATCAAGTCTTGTGGTGTTGCTATTTTTTGGTGCAGATTTTGTTGAAAAGATTATAGAGTCTTTCTGTACAGCCTAAAGTTGAAGATGACCTTTTGTTTAAGTAAGTTTTATTGATTCCAGTCATTTCTAGATACAGCCTCATCCCATAGAATTGAACCTCCCTTGTAGCAAAGAAAAACAGGCAAACAAAAAGCCTGATGGTGGGGACTGTGCCTGGCATTGGATTCAATGCTCTCCTTCCATCCTCCCCCACCTCTCTACTGACAGGAGGCCTTGGTATTTTGTTATCTGTCCTCTAGGACCAATGTGTGTCATTGAAGTTACTCAGAGGTCCGTTACCTTTGACTATTGTTTTCATTTATGTTATTATGGTTATTGCTGTTAGCACAGTGCTTGGCCCATAGTAAGTGCTTAATAAATGTTTATTGATTGATTATTGTTCCTCTGGCTCTGCTTTCTTTGCTCTGTAACCATTCAAATGAATTGAAAGCTAATATTTTGGGGGGGGGTGTGAGACAATTGGGGTTAAGTGACTTGCCCAGGGTCATGCAGCTAGTGAGTATCATGTGTCTGAGGGCAGATTTGAACTCAGGTCCTCCTGACTCCAGGGCTGGTGCTCTATCCACTGTGCCATTCAGCTGCCCCCTGAAAGCTATTTTCCACCTTGCTTCTGTTGACTCTCTTTGTGAGTGAGTGGTCTCTGATTCTAGGCTGTCCTGACTGGGTTATGACAACTTGCGATCTCTTCCAGCTCCCTTTCTGGCCCTTGTTCATGCTAGGTCACTCATGACCTCAGAATGACTAAGTCTAGCGGTTTTATCTTTTCCAGTGTTCAATGTCTTTGACCCAATTGAGCCTCCTTTTCTTCTTGGTGCTCTCCTCCGTTGGCTTCCGTGACTGTTCTTCCATGGTTCTCCTCTTACTTACCTGAACACTCCTTCATCTCTTTCACTGGCTTCTCCTCTTCCTCCCACTCCTAAGTATGGGTAATGGAATAATCAAAAATGCTTCAATGACCTTCTTTATTCCACTATTTTATTCCTTTCTCTTCTATTTTCTCTCCCCCAAATTGGAAAAATAAAGCCCCAAGGAACACGTACGCCCACATTAACCATGTCTAAAATTCATCCAACATTGTAATCAGCTATTTGGATGAAGATACAGAAAGAATACTTAGGACATTTGCAGGTGACTCAAAACTGGGTGGGCTAATACACTGCAGAGTAGAATCAAGATTTAAAAAGATCTACCAGGGTTGGAGTGAGAGTTATTTTTACTAAGTTGTAAAGTGTTATATTTGGGTTCCAAAAATCAATAGCATAGCTACTCAGTGTGGGGAGAACTGTCTTAACCACAGTTCACTTGAGAAGAAAGATCTAGGGATTTTAGCAGTTGAACCAAGTGACTATTTTTTCTTCTGTGAAAATCCTTAGTGCAATGCTTTCAGGGTGTCAAAAATTTCTTTCTTTCTTTCTTTTTGGTGAGGCAGTTGGAGTTAAGTGACTTGCCTGGGGTCACACAGGTAGAAAGTGTCACATGTCTGAGGCTAGATTTGAACTTAGGTCCTCCTAACTCCAGGACCAGTGCTCTATCCACTGTGCCACCTATCTGATGTCCCAAATTTCACATGGCAGGACTTCTCACGTAACCCTTAAAAAGCAGCAACAAGTGATTTTCTTTATCATTCTCACAGAGCCTCAGTTTTCTCACATGAAAATGAGGTTGGTATTAATAACTAATAGTTAACTTGACATAGTGCTTTAAGGTTCACAAAGTGCTTTTACATACATTATCTCATTTGATCCTCACAGGAACTCTGTGAGGTAAATGCTATTGTTATTTCCATTTTACAGATGAGAAAACTGAGGACGAGAGAGGTTAAGTGGGACAGCTAGTAATTGTCTGAGATGGCATTCAAACTTGGGCCTTCCTCACTCTCTACCAATTAATCAACAAGCATTTATCAAACGCTCAGTTTGTGCTGGGGATATAGAGAAAAGGTCAGAACAGTCCCTTTCCTCAAAAGCTTACTTTCCAGTGGGAGAAACAACATGTACGTAAAGATGCTGGCAGAGTAGATTTGATGATGATAACAATAACAATAACAGCAATAATAATAGCTAGCATTTGTAGAGTGCGTTAAAGGTTGCGAAGTGCCTTACATGTATTATCTCTCTGACACTAATAACAGTTTGGTGCTATTTTTAATCTCCATTTCATAGTTGAGGAATTTGAGGCAGACAGAGGTTAAATGACTTGTCCAGGGTCACACATCTAGTAATTGTCTGAGGCAGGATTTGAACTCTGGTCTTCTTGATTCCACATCCTGCAACCTATCTACTTGACACTTAGAGGGCGTGGCACTGGCCCCAGGGGGACCAGAAGAAGCCTCCTGCAGAAGGAAGCTTTGCAAGAAAACCATAGATTCTCAGAGGCTGAGGTGAGAAGGGAGAGTATTTCGGACATGGGGGACAGCAAGTACCAATCCGCAGAAATGGGAGATCCAATGGGTCATGTGTGAGGAGTGAGCGGCTTGGCTGAACAGTGTTGTTCATGTTGGGGAAGAAAGTATGAGAAGATTGCAAAGGGAGGAAGGAGTCAGGTTATGAAGAACCTTAAACGTCAAGCAGAGGAATTTCTATCTGATCCTAGGGGTGATAGGAGCAGGCCTCAGACACTTACTAGATGTGTGACCCTGGGCAAGTCACTTCACCTTGTTTGCCTCAGTTTCCCCATCTGTAAAATGAGCTGGAGAAGGAAATGGCAAGCCACTCCAGTATCTCTGCCAAGAAAACCCCAAATAGGGGCACGAAGAGTTGGACGTGACCAAAATGACTGAACAACAATAAAAGGAGTAATCAGGGGCCAGTGGAGTTTATCGAGTAGAGAGGTGGCATGATCAGACCTGGGCTTTAGGAAAGTCATCTTGGCAGTGGAGTGGAGGATGCGTTAGTGCTAGGAGAGACTGGAAACAAAAAAATGCCACGAGTGGACAAATGGAAAAAAAAAATTCCATTGTATTGCTTGTTTATTTCTCCGTAATAGAAAACTTAAATCTGGAGGAGAAAGGGCAGGAAAGTATCCAGAGGGAGATCTTCCTGAATTATACATCACACCTTTGAAAAAGAGATAAATCAGAATTACTCTTTCACTATTAAATTTCCCTTCCAAATGTACCTGATTTTGTTTAAAGGAAGGGTCTGGAAGTCCATTTTCTAATTGTACCTCATTCATTATTGAGCCTTGGCAGAGATGTTTCCCTTTAGGTGATATAATGAAGAACCCTTCTTCAGAACTCATCAGAGAGACTTGGAAAGGAAGGGTTTTTTTTTTTAATCACTTCATCTAACAAAACTCAGGAGCTTTGATAAGACTGTGACATCTGCCCAGATGTACACAGTACAGAATTACCATCACCGTTGGTTGAATCTTACACTTCAATATATAAATGAAACAAGCTAACCTCTTTTCTCTCAGTAGATATTTTTGTGTGGTATTGCTTGCAATGATTTTTATAGGGAATTAGGCAAGTTAGCCATCAATCATTGATGAGGTTAATATCACAGGCTTCATATAGGTTTTATATATATATATATATATACAGTGTTTCAATGACTCATTGTGGGATTTTCTTACTATGAGATTCCTTTTCTAAAAGCAAGGGAATTAGTTAAATTATCCATCAATCATTGATGAAGTTAATATCACAGACTTCGTATAGGTTGTATTTATGACATTACAGGGTTTCAGTGACTTGTTATGGGATTCTTTTAGTGTAAGATTCCTTTTCTAAAAGTAAGGGAATTAAGCAGCTTGCACATCAATCATTGATGAGGTTAATATCACAGACTTCATATAGGTTGTATTTATGACATTACAGTGTTTCAATGACTTATGGGAATCTGTTACTAGTAATCTCTTTGTGGTGTCTAGAACCTACATGAGTGATAATGCACACAAATAATAGATAGCAATAATGAGAACACTGGCATTTTTAGAACAAGAGTCAGTGTTCTGTATTGGCCAAAGATCCAGCCTCAGAGTCAGAAAGCCAGCTCTCACGCATGCTGGCTGTTTGACCCTGGGTACATCATTTAACCTCTCAGGTCCCTGGCAACTCTCTAACTTACAGTCTGTGGTTCAGGTACTGCTCTTCCTTTGTGGAGAGAGTTTTGTCATGGAGAGTTACCTATGCTAATGAACTCGTAGGTCCAGGGCAGGAAAAAAAAAAAGGCATCGAGCATATTTAAAGCCCTTTACATGTAAGCCCTCGTAGCATCTCATTTGAGCCTCACAACAGCCTTGGGAGGTGGGTACGCCAGATGCCATTATCCCTAGTTTACAGAAGAGAAAGCTGAGAGTCAGAGAAGTTAAATAATTTGCCCATGGTCACACTGTTAATAAATGTTAGAGACAGGATTTAAACCTCTCACGTCTTGATCCCAAGGTTGACTCCAAGTCCAACAGTCTACATGCCACCTTGGCTTTCTTTCAGTTATGTTGTAAGGACCACCTTCTTCATAAAGCTGTTCCCGGTCCCATTAACCCTTGTTATTAGTGTTAGAACTCCCAAATCTACCTTGTATTAATTTTGTATTTATTCTCTGTGGATAACCATAAGTGTACATGCTGTCTCCCCTATTAGAATGTAAGCTCTTAGAGGACAGGGGCATCTCCCTTTGTCATTGTAGCCCCAGTGCCAAGCACAAGGCCTGGCATTTAATAGATGCTTGTTGGATACTTGATTATGATTCACAGGAAAACAAACAAACACCAAGACGGAATATCATGAATCTTGCCAAGTGTGTTTGGTGGGAAAAGTGATACGTAGACTACTTTTTTTGCTAAAATATTACTTCTGATATGATTCACTAATATAAATGGGATGAGCACTTTCTCAAGTCTTTATTTTTTTTTCTTGACTATCAGTACCCAGGGTGAAAGAACGATCAGTCATTTGGTTAAATGTTTTAACTAGCAATTCCTTTATATATATGCTTGACTACTTTGGATCACCAAAAGGAGAATGTTAAATGCCTGGGCAACCACTTATGCAGCCTCTTTGAAAAATCCAAATTTCCCTCAAAATTCCTCTGTTACAGTGATGTGTGTATGTTTGTTTTTGTTTGTGCATTTTCAGAGCTCCTATGGATATGGGGACCTGTTCAGTGAGACTTGGAAGGCATTCACCGACTATGACGTCATCCATTTGAAAGTATATGATTCAAAAACGGTACTGAAAACTTTACACAGATATGTGCCATGGGCACATGATTTACCTGGGAGATAAGGGCACATGATTATCCTTGGTATAGATTTCTAGTTTATCATTATAATTTTAAAAATGGAATGTTGCCACTTATTGACAGTCAAAAAATGTGTCTTTTTGAAAGCTAAGTTCTTTATAATTTCACAACATTCCCTTTCAGAGAAGTGTGAGAAGGTGTCCCCACCTCCCAACTCATACTGTTTTGCAGAGCTGGGGAACATTGTTTTTTTTTTTTAATGTGTTGATTAGTTTTATTGAATTTTTTTCCTCTTCTTCACATTTAAACAAAGACTCTTTGTTAGAAGGGATAGCTCTCTAGGAATGGGGAGGGGAAGAGATATTGTAGGAAATGTAGGTGATGGAAAAGCAAAATATATCAATAAAACTTAATAAAAAATATCATCTGGTGGGTAGGCAACAATCTTAGAAGGCAGAGGAGTGCAATGGAAAGGGAGCTAAATTTGGAGTCAGAGGGCATGGGTTCAAATTCTGGTATTGTTTCCTTAATAGTTATATAACCTTGCATAAATCATTAATCTCTAGACTCAGATTCCTAGGTAAGGAGTTAGACAAGATGATCTCTGAAATCCCTTTAAGCTCTAATCTTATGGTCCTTTAGGATATAATACTAATTTTTCTTATGGAAGCATCTACGTATATCTATGTTACATAGACACAGACATACACACGTATATCTGTGCATATTGTACATATACACACATGCACACTCGTGTATGGATGTATGTTAAATATGCTATACATATGTATATATATGTATGCACACACATATATAGTATCTACATAATAATATACATACACATACATATACATTATCCTTAACAAAATAAATAACAATACAATACAACATAGATAATGCTAATTTGTAGTTTTCTAAATTACTATGTAGCTTGTAAGGTTTGACACCACAGTTTTAAACAACTTTTTTCTCCAGGTGTGTTTCAAGGAAGCTGTCTTTTCCTTACTTCCCCGAATGAGATACGGATTGTTTTACAACACACCACTGGTGAGTATTTTTGAATAACTAGGCATATAAATTTATACTATAGGGATTTGGTTCTTGGCAACTTTCAAGATGGGTCGACAAAACCAGCTTTTGGGAATGGAACCAAGCTTGGGTGTGACAGCTGTGACTTTGATTTCAGATCTCAGGCTGCCAAAATACGGGATTATTTCGAGCATTTTCCCAGCATGTGTTGCACAGACTGAACATCACACGGGATGGACCACAGGTAATCTATATACTGTGTGTTCTAAGCTTGGCCTTTCCCCTTGCTGACAATTAAAATCAATAAACAGAAGAAATTCTATTGATCTTTTTTTTTTCTGACCTGAGAGGGTGGAGCATCCAAAGTCAGGCTTTTATGACTTTGTGGAATGATGAGTCACCAGGCATGTGTCTTGGAGAGAAGAATGCAAATTCTCCCCCAGTGAGTCTTCCTGACTTCTTTGCCCATTGGCCAAACTAAATAAAACAAACAGGAGCAGTGAAAAGGAAGAAAGATTGTTTCTCCTGTTAGAATGTAAGCTTCTTGAGGGCAGGACAATTTGGATTTTGCCTTGGCTGTTGTAGTGTCTGCACAGAATCTGGGACATATGATAATTAGCCTTAAGTGCTTGTGGAATTGACATTCTCTGTCCCTTGGCTATGATGGATTGTTTTTGTTCACCGTGGGACTAGATCGGCTAATGATCAGAGGAAAAGGATGCTTAGAGAATCCTGATCAAAAGAATTTCTAGAATTGCATCCAATTTAGTGAGTTTTTTTATTGAGAAGAACTGGCAAGTTATTACATGGTATGTCCCCAAAGTCTTAGATACTAAAGATTATAACTGCACGAAGACTTTTGGGACACTCTGTCTATCTAGTCATTATTACAGCATAATGTCTTTTCTGTTTGAATGCAGGATGGAAGAATCCGTGTCACTATCCTTGCCCGCAGTACAGAATATCGGAAGATATTAAACCAGAACGAGGTTGGTTTTTGCTGAATATTTTGATTACTGTCACATTGAATTTACTTTGTAGTTATTTTTTATATTAAAGGAAATTTTTTTTTATCTAAACTAACTTTTATAAGCATAATAAAGTGAGCTCTGGACCTAGAATCAAGAAGACCTGAATTCAAATCCAGCCTCAGACCCTTATTTTGTGACCCTGGGCAAATCACTTCACCCCTTTGTCTCAGTTTCCTCATCTGCAAAATGGGAATCATAATAGTACCTACTATATTCATGGTAGTCAGCCCCCTACCCAAGATCCAATGAAGTTCACCCCTTTTGGGATCAGTTTTCATACAAATAATTGCAGAGAAGCAATTTGGCTGAGGTGGTTAGAGAACTAGCCTCGGAATCTAAAAGATCTGCGGTCAAATCCTGCCCCCCCAAATGCTGGCCGAGTGACCTCAAACAACTCTGGAGGACCACAAGTGAAAGAAGAGGAGGTGCTGCTTTGTGTCGATAGAGCAAATTCCCCAGACTGATGAAAGAAATAGACTCATAGTTCTAGAGTTAGAAGTCATCTCAGAGGTCACCTAATCTAGCCCTCCCCCCCTGCATTTTATATAAGAAGAAAGAGGCCCAGAGAGGTTAAGGGATTTACCCAAGGCCACACAAGTAATGAGCATCATAGGCAGAATTTGAACCTTTTTCTCTGACTTCATTGTATCTTGGCTGCCTCTGGGATTGTTATTTATGTGTAAATTGATCAAAGAAGGGCAAAGCTCACACAAAGTGACAAATAACCATGGGTTGGACAGGAGCAGAGAGCTCTGCTATTCTCCCTCAGATGTGTGCTGTCATATACCCCACTAACAGTCAATATAGTGAGAGGAAGCCGGGTGCGTTTGGGAGGACACTCATTTTGTAAACTGAATTTTATTATTTTTTCAAATTACAAAAATCTATTGTCTCTTCTTCATCTCCTCCACTTCCACTGGAAAAAAAAAGTAAATCCTTTTTAACTGATAACCATAATTAAACCAAACTAATTCCTGAATTGGCCGTGCTTAAGAAATATGCCTCAGTCTACACTTTGAGTCTATTACCTCTCTGTCAAGAGGCCTTTTATCATTGGGTTACCTGGGATCATGGGTGGTCATTTCACTGATCGGATTTCTAAGCCTTTCAAAGTTGTTTGTCTTTACAATGCTTTTGTCATAGCATAAATTGTTCTTTTGGGTCTGCTTTCCTCATTTTGCATCAGTTCATACAAGTCTTTTTTGGGAGGCTGATGGAGGATGGTGCCTATGTGGCACTAAGTCCCAGACTGAGAAGAAAGAGTGTGTAATCTACTATGGTGTACAACTCTTGGAGAGATACGTCTGCTGTGGTTTCCAGACCTCTTTTCATTGGTGTCAGCTCATCTACCCTGTTTAACATCAGAATGAGAAGTAGAGTTCCCCTCTGGGAAATACTGGAGTGCAGTGGGCCTCTCATATAACGCTCAGAGTAACTCTTCTCTGGTGGACACATGCAAAATGTGAATGATGGCTACTGTATTTTGGACTGTGAGCATATGACAGCCGCGATGGACATCAGAAATGGTATCATCAAAGAACAGAATAGCAAGATCAACTTCCCAGCAGCAGATAGGCTGATTCCCTGGCCCTTGACTTTCAGAATCCAGGTCTCCCTCATGGGACCAGTCTCATAAGGCAGAGGTGGGTTTGGAGGCAGGACCAAGCTATTGGAATGAAGGTGGAGAGCTCAATGTTATGCCAAAAAACAGCAGATCCTGTACCAGGTTTTTTTTTTTCTTATTTTATAATTATATATCCCTTCTCTTCTTGCCTGCCTGGGACATTCCTTGTCATAATAAAACAGAAAGAAGATAAGATTGCTGGATTTGAGTTTGAATTCCAACTTTGCACCTTGCTATTCCTGTGACCTTGTGCAAGTGCCTTGATTTCCTAATCTATAAAATGAAAGGTTCTTAAACTACAGTCTGTGAATTTGTTATTAAAATTTTTTCTGATATCTTTGTTGTTGTTTGCTGTGCCCAACTCTTCATGACCCCATTTGGGGTTTTCTTGGCAAAGATACTGGAGTGGTTTGCCATTTCCTTTTCTAGCTCATTTTACAGATGAGGAAACTGAGGCAAACAGGTTAAGTGACTTGCCCAGGGTCATACAGCTTGTAAGTGTCTGAGGCTGGATTGAACTTAAGTTTTCCTGACTTGAGGCTTGGTGCTCTATTCCCTGCACCACCTAGCTGCCCATTTTGATAACTATTTCAATACAATTGTTTTTCTTCATAATCCTGTAGATCTTATTTTATACATTTAAAAATATTATTTTGAGAAGAGGCTTATGAGTAAGAGGCTTAGAGTAAGAACCTCTAGCTTTGATGGTTTCTAAATTCCCTGTCATCTCTAATTCGTGATCTTATCATCCCATGATATTTGATCTTGTAAAAACAGTTCAGTGAGTCTAACCACCACATCAGACCAATCTAACAGTATAGGCAATGTTCCACCTGTAAACCCTCACCTTGGGCACTGAGGTTTTCAGATGCATTCTTTCCCCATCTCTAGTTCATGGGTAGAATTTGCTCTTTTAGTTATGGATTTCATGCCAGATATGATATTCCTTTTAAGGAACAGACTTCATGAAAAGCTAGCTGATAGGTACTGAAGAAATGACTTTCTTTCATAATTGGATTTGCAAATTAATGATAAAGCCCACATGTGTTAATCAAATTATTTTTAATGAAATCACATCCTTCTGCAGGGTTTAGGAAAGGATACATTTTTGTTGACAGCTTCTATGGTATGATTGGAGATTAGGATTGTAGGGTCACAATTCTAGAGTTGGAAGGGACCCTAGAAGTCATCTAGTTCAACCTCCTTATTTTACTGATAGGGAAACTGAGGCCCACAGAGACTAAGGATCTTCCCAGGGTCACAGAAAGAGTAAAAAGTAACATGAGAATTTTCATTAAAAGCCCACATCTCCAGGTTCAGCATGCTTTTCAGGGAAACACTGTACTTTCCAAATAAGTACATTTCCAGTTGGATGCTCTAGGACCTGGTGGTCCCTTCTAAGTTGGCATCTTTGATTAAAAGCCCAAACTTGGTTAATTCTCCAATGGAAAAGGAAACTCAAATTCCTCTACTCATCTCCAGTTATCTCTTCCACATTTTGGGGGTTAGGGATGTGGTGTCCCTGTGATCTGGAAAATCTGTGTAAAATGTTTTGGCTCTCTCTTCATACCAGAGAAGACATCTGAATTTTTTTTCTTTTTCTTTTATGGTGTGTTTACAATACTTTATTGTAAAATTTGGGTTAAGTATTTGGTCATAGGCTATAGTATGCAACTATATATATATATATTTATATAATTTCTGAGTTTTTACACTTTGACGTCTGCTAGCCTTCGTGTGTTGTCTGTGGCTTCCACTTAGCTCCCCCCAAATTCCCATTTAATTTCTTATGTTGGCCTGAGATACATCGAAAATGCAATGGGGAAAATTGCAATGTGGTAGGGAAAACTGTAGTTTTCCTTCAGCTCTGATGGAAATGGTATATTCATGAAAATCTTGGAGCTGTCTAGGAAGGAAAACTACCTTGTGAGCATTTAAGGAGTGAAATCATTTCTATCCCCCTTTTGTCATAGGCACAACCCTGTAATATTGTTACAGAAAACTTGCTAGTTCAGGACTTTGGTCATTCATTATTACCAAATGGGAAGTGATTTGTAAGTCAAGGCAACATAACTGTGGTTTTAGTAGGATGAGACCCAGTGACCTCCTTTTGTTAATGGAGTAAATGTTTCAGTCTAAAAGCATTCAGAGGGTTTCCCCAGCAAAGAATGACCTTGGCTTGAATTTTCAGATGACAGGTTAACATTTCTAGTGCTGGGAAAGGCACAGGACTCACTTGTAGCTGTTAAGACATTAAACCCTGTAATAGTAGCATCCTGAATCCCAACCTCTTTTTTGTGTGCTGGTTGAAAGCTAGATGAGAAAGCTCTTTCTTCACATAAGATAAATGTGACTTTAGCTTTGATAACTTTTTGGAGTGGTGAGAAAGGAGATGAGTGAAGGAATTTCCAATCTAAATGTTTCTCTTTCTCTCTAGCTTGTAAATGCATTGAAAACTGTGTCTGCATTTGAGGTCCGAATAGTAGATTACAAATACAAGTAAGTATGGAGCTTCACCTTAATGCCTGTGATAGCTTTTGCATGAACCTCATTAATGAGGAGCAGGGCTTTTTAGCCTCATGTCATCTGTAGACAGGGAATCATTAAATTTTTTTGTGTTTGCTTTTTTGATGGGCAATCAGGGTTAAGTGACTTGCCCAGGGTCACACAGCTAGTAAGTGTTATGTGTCTGAGGCCAGATTTGAACTCAGGTTCTCTTGACTCCAAGACTGGAGCTCTATCCACTTTGCCACCTAGCTGCCCCAGAATCATTAATTTTTCAAGTGTTTATGGAAAGTAGATTTGCATTGGGATTTTAAATCCATCTTGCTTATGGTCTAAAGAGCCTTAGTCTTGGTTACATGGTGACATTCACACCTATCATGCACATGTGTCAGTGAATACCACTGGAGTGGGGTTCTGCCATACAGGCTAGAAATATGTGGGTATTGCTTGGACAGTGACAAAAAACAAATATTTATCCTGTACCTACTTTGTACCAATCTCACTGGAGACTGAAAAATATATTTCTCTCTTATATTAATAATCAATTATTGAAAATAAGAGGGAAAACTTAGATCTGTTCAAAAGGTAAAGAAGTTTTAGTCTAAGCGAGTTGATGGATTCTGGCCCATTGTATTTTACTCAGACAGGTCTGGGGAAACGTGGATTCTATAAATAAGTCTCTTTGACCAAGACTGAGTGATCAGAGTAATGTCCCTCAGACTCTCACTAGAATAAGCCCACCTCTTATTATTTATTAACCAAACAGAGTTGATTGCCACTCTCAGGAACACCTACTTTTCGAGGGCATATAAGTATTGAGTGGGTTCCATGAGGGGTCTTTGGCATTTGAAAGTATCACTGACCCCTTTTATTAATTATATGCTAGCATGATTAATAAAATTATTAATTACTGAGAAACTATGTCTCTCAAAGATACAAAGATAAAAATGAAACAATAGACCCCTTGCCTTCAAAGAGCTTACATTCAATTCAGGATAGACACCATATGAAGCCCTTACTCAGGGTGAGTGAAACATTACACATCAAAGGAAAAATGTAAAGAAATATACTAGTGACGCTCTGCTGAAACTTGTGAGTAGTGGGCTTGCTCTGGTCACTCGAGTTGGGGTTCCTGCTCAATCAATCAGTCAGTCAATTAACAGATTCACTTTTTAAATGCCTACCAGGTACCAGGCTTTTGTGCCTGGTTCTGGGAGCCATAGATACCAAGAATGAAACAATCCCTATTTGTACGGAGCTCACCCATTCTAATAGGGAGGCAACAAATGCTTGTTTTTGTATATACAGCATACATATGAGGTGAATAAATACAAATACACATGAAATAGTTAAGTACTAGGTAGTCTGGGAGGGAGGGCACCAAGGGCTGGGGGAGATCAGGAAAGGCTTCAGGCCATAGACGGCGCCTGAGCTTCTTCTTGAAGGATGAGAGGGATTCTGTGAGGTAGAGATGAAGAGAGAGTGAATTCCAGCGTGGGGGTGCTTAGTGCAAAGCACTTAATGAACTTGGCATGAATTGTTTCAAAAATGAAACAATCCTTGCTGTCAGGGGGAGCTAGGTGGCACAGTGGATAGAATGCTGGACCTGGAGTCTGGAAGACCTGGGTTCAAAACCTACCTCTGGCTGTGAGGACCTGAGCAAGTCACTTAATGCCTTGGTGCTGCAGGCAACTCTCCAAGACTTGGGGGTTCCTTTCCTGTAGGGGATGGCTTACATGGCTGCTGAGGTCCCTTTTCCCCCTTAAATTTGGTGATGTTTGTGACTGAATTGAAGAGCAGGCACTACATTGCATCCACACCAGTTCCCCATAACAGCAAAACCATGGGTTAGGTCTAAACAAAACTTGAAGGCAGCTATTATACACACCATCACAGTTCCGAGAGTCCTAGGTTAAAGCAGGGAGTCCGTTTAGGTGTTGATTGTTAATAGGTCCCATCAGAGGATGGCACCATGGAAACGGGAGCACTGTGATGGACTCAAGGGAGATTTGGGTGGTGGAATTGGCAGCTCATTGAGTGTTGGAGGTGAGGGAGAGGAAGTAGGAGGATGACTATGCCTTAATTCTGTGATATAGGTTTATTGTATTTTACTAGAATTGGAGGTTTCTAAGCTTGGGTGCCTGAAAGAATATATACTGTTCACACAGTTCCGAGTGTGAGACATTTATTAAGCACCTACTGAGTGCAGCTAGAAGTGATAATAAAGTAAGTGTTATGGAGATAAAGGATTTATTTCATTTGGGTCTGTCAGAGGCAATGGACTTTAAGTGACTAGATAACTGGCCTCAAAGCCTAGAAGACCTGAGTTCAAATCTTGCCTCTTACTCATACTGGCTGGGAGACTTCTCAGTGCACTGATGAGGACTTTCTTCATCTAGTAGTTAGCCCTCTATACCAATGAATGACACATCCAGTCCTTATCCCTGTCCTTTCCTGCCTAGCATATAGTAGGAGTCTAATCAATGCTTATTGAATGGAATTTTATAACCTGATAGCAGATGATACAAGCATTTCTCATATTCCAGCTCTAACCGAACTCTTCCTTCTTCCCTCCCTACGTTTTTCTCACGGCGTTTCTCCTATGTGCAGGGAGATTGGGTTTTTGGAACAACTGAGGATTACGCACAACACAGACATATTTATCGGCATGCATGGAGCTGGTCTGACACACTTGCTTTTTCTCCCAGACTGGGCTGTGATTTTTGAACTGTGAGTTGGACTATAAGTTGGTTGGGTCCAGTCTTTGCTCCTTATGCTGGGCCTGAGTCGGGTTATATGTTGTCATCACATGGGGATGTATTTTGCCACTAATCAATGGCCTTTACTTCAACAAATAGACGAACTCAATGCTCATCCACAGAGGAGTCCTTTTTCCAAGGTCACCCAGTGAATCCGAGAGGAAGAAAAAGAAGACCTCAGGGCTCTAAATAACATAACACTGTTTTCTTGTGTTCTGGAGCATACCTCCCATCAATGTTATTCTTTTATTTTCTCCGCTTAGTTTTACAGAGACATCCTGGTATAGTGGATAAACTGTTGAACTAGACGTCAGGGAGATTTGCTTTCAAATCCCCCCTTCTGACACTTATTAGCTGGATGATCTGGGGAAAGTCATTTCCCCTTGATGAGTCTCAGTTTTCTTATTTATAAAATGAAGGATTTTGATTCCATCCCATTTCTAGGTCTGTGATCATATTGGGGATTCATTCTTGTAATAATTGCAATCACTAGTAGTAGGATGGCAAATTATTAAGGGAAAATACACCATAGGTTCTCAGTGGTCAGATTGTAGTGCAAATTATTCTGTATGTTCTATGAATCTTATGCTTGAATTAGGTTAGCTGTGTGGTTATTATTGGGCCCTAGAATCATAGCTCTAAAATAACTAGACAATTTAAGCAGATTATCCGGCTCACAACTATGTGGTTAATTGCCTCTGCTCTTTATTTCTCTGCCTTGACTTGAGAATAATCATGATAACTGGTATTGATAGAGTGCTTTCAGATTTACCAAGTACTTTTACAAACATGATCTCATTTGAACTTCACAACAGCCCTGTGAGGCAGGTAGTAAAGGAATTAGCCCTAGTTATGGATGAGGAAACCGAGGCTGACAGAGGTTGATAGACCTGCCCAGGGTCACAAAGCTAGTTAGTGTCAGAGGCAGGTCCAGTGTTCCCCCTACTACCCTAGGCCTCGTCTCTTAATAGATATGGCACTAGTATTTAATTTTTATCATCCTTCCCTTAACCACAGACCAAATAGTCCATTTCTGGTGACCTTTCCAAAATGATTTTCCCTTTTCCTTATTGTTTAGAGATTGAAATCTGTTTGTGCTCCTAAAGTTGTCTTTTTCAAGGAGCTTTTTATTTTCTTAGGAATTGTTTTCAGGGTGCTGGATGATAAAGACTTTATGAGGACATTATTTGTGAAAATCTTTGTCTCTAGGTACAACTGTGAGGATGAACACTGTTATTTAGACCTAGCCAGGTTGAGAGGGATTCACTATGTCACCTGGAAGAAAAAGAGCAAAGTCTTCCCTCAAGATAAGGTAAATCCTGCCTGTCTCATATTCTTGTTTTTAACTGGACTAAAATGTTAGGCTGTCCCCCATAATAAAAGAAAGGGGAAGAAAATAAGCATTTATTAAGTGCCTACTATGTGCCAGGCACTGTGCTAAGCACTTTACAAATATCATCTCGTTTGATCCTCACAACAACTCTGGGAGGTAGGTGCTAGAATTATTCCCATTTTACAGTTGAGGAAACTGAGGCAAACAGAAGTCAAATGACTTGCCCAGGGCTACACAGATAGTAAGTGTTTGAGGTCAGATTTGAACTCTGTTTTTCCTGACTCCAGACTCAATGCTTTATTCACTGAACCACCTAGCTGCCTCAATGATAATATTTCAATAGTTTTTCTTTCTCTCCTGCTGAAAGTTTTACGAAGTGCTCTCTGCACCACAACTCTGTGAGGTGGATAGTAGAAGTCATGCTAATACATGAATGACATACTTTACTACTTTAATTAAGTATTTAATGAATTAAATGCTCACTTACTTTAGCCCAAATCAATTTTTTCTCCTTTAATTAGTAAGTTATTTTAGCTTAAAAGTACAAGAGTACTTTTAAAGTACAAGTATTTTTTTTTTTAAGGCACTTGGGGTTAAGTGACTTATACCCAGGGTCACACAGCTAGTGCCAAGTGTTTGGTCTGAGGCCATATTTGAACTAGGATCCTCCTGACTTCAGGGCCAGTGCTCTATCCATTGCACCACCCAGCTACCCCTAAAACAAGGAAGTCTTGCTAGTTTCCTAGTTCAGCAGAAAGGTAAACTCTTTGAGGTCAGGGCAAACTAAATACTTTGCCTTTACTTACCTTTGCACTGGTATCCCCATTGTATTCCCATTGAAAAGAATATAAACTTCCTGAGGGTGGGGACTATTTAGATAATACTTTTTATTTATTTACCTGTATACAGGCTGTTTTTTTAAGTCCCTTATTCAACACTCTTCACCCCAGTGCAGCTCCTCAAGGTTAGGGAAAATTTTGGTTTTGTGTATCTGGATTGACAGGAGTGTGGTACTAACTCCCTAACTCTCTTCCTCCATGCTTTCTTTTTTCCTGGGCTGGCTCACTCACCCCATCTGTACCTACTCTGGTAGGTTAGAATGCTTTTCCAGAATGAGGTAGTCACACTTGCTTTCAGAATCCTAAGGATTGCTCTATTGTGGGAGAAAGACATATGTTAACATTTAAAATTGTATTTCCTGAGCCCCCACTGGTGTGCTTCCCATTTATAAAATTAGTCACAATGACACCATTGACTTTTTAAAATTTTGTTGATTTTTTTTTCTTTTTACATACCCTGAATTTCTCTCTGTAGCTCCTTCTCAGAAAGCCATTTCATATGACAGGAAATTACACCACTAAGACTTAAACATGAAACTACTAAACAAGAAAGCAAAAGCAAGCATGACCATAAATAACATTTACTTAATAGAACGCAAAAGTAGGAATAATCAAAATATAACAATCCACTTATAAACACTCTTTCACAGTGTCCAAGAGGAAGAGTAAGTACCAGTTTTTAGGATCTGAGGCACTGAGGCACATGAATAGGAAATCTCATGCTTTCCTAGGAAAGCTCAAAACTCTAGGCTTCAGGTCTTGATATCTTTTATCTCTAGAGGATAGACTATACCACACCACACTTACTGGGTAAGACTGCTCCTCTTCTGAATTTCTGCACTCTTTTCTTGGATGAAAGCCCATTTCTGCTCCTAATATGCCTTTAAAGCAGTATTCAGCTCTTTAAGCCAGTTAGCAGCTTTAAAAGCTTAAGGTATTCTGATGTTCTTTAAGCAAAAAGCAATTCCCTTTAATCCTGAAACCTGCAACGCTATTCAGAATTTGCACTTGCTAGGGTCTGGGGGATTCCTGCCACTGAGCAATAGAGGGCCTTAAAACATAACATAGGCAAGTCTTTCAGGAGTTTACTCTCTCTCAAGCTGTAGATGGAAGATGTAGATGGCCAGCTCTTGACTCACAAGGAAGGATTATATTTTCATCCAATCAGCTCTTTCAATCAACAGAGTTATCCTCCAGTCACATTAGGTCTCTGCATCCACCACAAAGCCACTCTCTACCCGGCTCAGCTACTGTCAAACTCTTGACTCATTGACTTCTCACCATGGTCTTCTGTGTTCTGTAGCCTGATGCCATGACTTCTTCTCTCAGCATCTTCTCTGATCTTCCTGTCTTCTATGGTTGCTGACTCCTGATTTAACTTCTTATTTCTAGCCTCATTCAGCTTCTAACGACTCAAATCAGGGGTCTCTTCATGAATAGGGAGTGATTCATCTCTAACTTAGCCTGAAAAATTAACATTCCACATTTCTGTCAGAGACGACACATAGTTATTATGTAATAGTCCCATAGTCCCAGAACAGATCTTTGATCCAGAGTTTTAAACATCATGGTCCCGAAAAGTCAGATTCAAAATAGCTACTGGAAACGGGTGCACTGGAGCCATCTTTGCACTCAGTCAATTCCTGCTTTCATCCAGTTTTCTCAGAACTCTATTTCTCTCCTCAGCAATCACCCCCCCCATTTTTTTCTCCTGGGGTGTTCATCTCTGGTTATTTCAGCACAGTCTTTGTTTCTCCCCAGCTGTGTTTCTTTTGTTTCACACAAAATGTCTTCTTTTCCCCTGCCCCTTTTCAGCCAATAAAATGTCGACCTCAGAAAGGGGCAGTGCCTTGCATTGGACTTTGTATCCCTAGCACCACTAACAGGGCCTTGATAAATGTTTATTGAGTTATATAATTATAATAATCAAGCCTGGTCCAGAATAAGAGATATGAGAATTCACCCCCCTCTTTTGCAGAGGTAGAGGACTATGGATATATAGAACATTGCATTAATGGAAAGACTTAGTTGGCATTTTGCTTCCTTCCCCTCCTTTCTTTTTAACCTTAATCCTAATATATAATGTGAACTATGCTTCATGTGGCAAAAAATAAAACTCTAGCCAGATAAGTAGCAATATTTTAGTTAGATTTTCTCTTCAGAAGGAAACAAAAAAACTTGTGAAGTGGTGATTTTTAAAATGATTTGGGCTCCATTGTATCCTCCTCTCTGGGTAGAGGAGAGGAAAGATTTATTGGGAAATGAAGATCATGTAAAAACAACTGTATCAATATTTTAAAAAAATGGTCAGCTGAGTATTGGGACTGGACATGTATTTTCACCCATATAGAAAACTCCTTGGTGAGGAAACTCATTAGACAGGTGAAGGTTGACATGTGCTCTGTAAATAGGCTCACGGAGTTACCTCAAGCACTGAGATTTGCTCAGTTACACAGCCAATAGGTGTCAAAGACAGGATTTGAACACAGTTCTTGGCTCTGAGGCTAGCCAGCTTTCTAGCCACTATAGCATACTGAAGGAATTGAGTTTTGTAAGTCCCTTTCTCCTCAAAACATCCAGTCAATTTTGTTCAATTTTTCAAGGCTGTATTGAGCAACTGCTAAATTCCAGGCATTGGGTTAATCCTGGGAAGACAAAGACAACAATTAAACATTTTCCACTCTCAAGGATCTCACATTTGATTTGGAGGAAGCGCTATTTAGCCAGTCAATGGGATAGGAAGATAAAGACTGAGCCTATGATTTCATTGGTGCAGGGAACTCCCAGAAGAGGCATCTTTCTCTCCTAGGGGAGGTCAGTGCCTTCTCAGAGCAGCATTGTGGTCACTAATCCATACAGAAGGATCCCTGGGCATCACATATTGTATCTTAATTTATCTTGTTATACTATTTCCCGATTACATTTTAGTCTGTTTCAAGCTGCACTCCCACTGGGATCTGGCGGTATGTTTGACACCTATCTGAGAAATTTGCCTAGAACAGAGGTGCTGGAACCAGATTAAAATGTAAATAGAAAATGTTTAACAAAATAAGTAAAAATATAATACAACATAGATAATGTTAATTTGAGGTTTTCTAAGTCAATATGTGGGCTCCAGAGATCATTTCTATTTGAGTTTGCTCAAAACACTGAAAAGTTAAGTTATTTGCTCAGGGTCACACATGTGCTAGAGGTGGTATCTAACACTCTCTCTATTCATGATGCCAAGCTTCCTCTTGAACAAATATATACACATATGTATATACATATACACACATAAATACACATACACACATATACATATACACACATGTATATATATATACACATTTACACAATTCACATATATACATTTATATATACACTTACATATATATGTAAATGAAGTCAACAAATAAGCAAACAAATATTCATTGGATTGAATTTTACTTCTATGCCAATAAGCTACCTGGAACTGGTAGCTTAGAAAGAGACATAAATTGCATAAAGTTAGCAGCAAATTAAAAGAGCCAGTGACAGAATTGCCATTTTTTTTCCTACGTGGGAAGCAATGACCTAAGGAACGTTGATCGTTCACAAATGTTTTCTGTTTCTGCAGGGTCACCATCCAACTCTAGGAGAGCACCCCAAATTTACAAACTATTCTTTCGATGTAGAAGAATTTATGTCTATCGTCCTCCTGGCTGCAGATCATGTATCTCAACACCCAAAGTGGCCATTTAAGAAAAAACGTGATGAACTATGAAAAAGAAATGTCAATTGTTTTTTATCAGTTTCACTGGAGTGGAATGGAAACCGCAGGATCTAAATATTAGAGCACCCAAGCTCAAAATTTTTTTTTTTAAACCAAACAAGTGCCATGTTTTATACCAAAATGCACATCTACAATGTTGAAGTATTTGAACTATGGTCTTTTTTGACCATTCTTTCTGATTTCTATGTTGTTGCTATTTATCAAGACCATTTGAGACTTTTGCACTGATCATTTTAATTCTTCCATTTTGTAAATGTTTTCAGACTCATAAGAATGTTTAATTTTTTTCATTGGCGGTAATGAACATTTCATGGGTGAGTTACTGAGTTTTCTTGCCTCGGAATCTGCAAAGGTTTTTGGTTTTTGTTTGTTATTATTTTCAGTTTTATGATATGATAGTGACTGTAATTTCAATCATCACTTCAGCTTATTTCTGACATATATGGATTTATAAGACCACAGATATAGAGCCCAAAGGAATCTTAGAGGCTGTAGGATTAGAAGAGCATCAGTTCTGGACTTGGAGTCTAACTCTAACTCGTGAGATCTTGGACATTGAGAGAGAAGAAAACTCATGAGAGAGGGAAACTTGGAGACTGACTTTCATAGACAGGTCTGGGGCAGAATTTGAATCCAGGTCTTAATGAATCCCAGTCCAAAATCCTATCCATTATACCTTTAACAAAGAACTTTCTCTTCTTCCCTACAAACTAACCCTAATATGATTTGGGACGTGGAAAAAAAAAGAATTTCAAGTATAATAAGCCAATAATTCCTTCAACCTTAGTCTGATTTTTCAGTCACCTAGTGGTGTCAAGTATCCTGAGATTAAATTGCATCCTATGCAATTGTGATAGGATGTATGTCACTAATAGGAGTCAGGTTTTAATGTGAACTATGTATTGTATGACAAATTTAATTTTAATTTTTCTTGGTTGCATAGCAGTATTTTGATAAACTTTTCCCTTTAGTGAGGCAAAGCAAAACTCCCCAATTTGTAAAGTGTCTCTTTTTAAAGAAAGCTTAGGTTCTGTTGTTGGGGTAGATAAACCCCTACATCCCTGGGTCACCTCCCCCATGGAAAGATCCAAGTTTTTTAGGTCTTCATATGTTTCTGTATTCAACCTGATTGTCAATGTAAAGAGTGTTTTTTTTTTCAAATTAAAAAAAAGAAAGGATCTATTAGATTAGAGGGATACCATTATGAAAACAGGTAAGGTGTTATTAAACTCTATCTATATGTGGAAAAAGTATTAGGATCAACTCTGCTATTTATGCCCTTCTAGGATGCTTCATTTCTGTTGTTAGAATTCATTCTGCTGCAAAATGAGACATTTACAGCTGTCTAAACACTTGCAGAGTTTAATTTTCAAGGCTCCTGACTACCTTTTGTTAAATAATTGTAAGTGACTTCCTAAAGGTTAGGCCTATTTATTATACTGCCTTTGAAAATCCAGGTGAATGACTGTAGTGCTGACTGATACACAGGTTGGTTTGGGCTCTAGAAAAATTCTTTTCTCAGAAACTCGGCTGATTGCAGTGGATTTTCTAATCACGATTGTTGCTGCTTTTCTATGTGCAGAATACTAAGTAATTATTCAGGAAAACATGCTTCGCTCAAAAGGGAAATGGAAAAACAAAGTCACACTTTGGGTCAGGATCGAAAATTTTAAATGCAGTATTTCTGTATTTGTGTTATTACCTCATTTTACAGAAGTGTCTAGGACAATGTTGTTTTGTAAAGTAGCATGGATTTCAAAACATTTAGCTTTTCTAGAAAAAAGCTATATTTATTATACTTTGCACATATTTTAGAGAGACTGGTAAATTTTATAGAAACAGAAGAATGCATCTGATAATTATGTGGTTAAACAGAGGGAGCCATTTTAACATGTGAAAACTTTTAAAATTTTAAAGTGCAAAGCTTGCTACTTTTATCAATCCAAATTCTTAAGATTAACCTGTAAAAAGCTGTGATGTCTTTTGCCATTTTTTTGGGGGGGGATCATGCTTTTGAAATAAATATTTTTTTTTGTATTTTATTTTGAATGTCAGTTTTATTTTTTAAATTATTTTTCTTTTTGATTAGTGTGAGTTTCTTTCCTTGGGAATCTTATTTAACTGGTTTATGGCACATAAACTTTGTCCTGTTCAAGAGACCTTGGTTTGAACAGTCAGCAAAGGAAAATACAACTTTCTCAATGTTGTTGTGAATTTACAAGAATACTTGAAATCTGGGGCCGTTTTCTTTTCTATTACTCTTGGGAGAGACATCAGAAAGAAGGAATAACTTTGTCTTTTATATGACTTCCTTTGTATTTATCTTTCCTAAGGAGTGAATTCTGATTACAATTGAATTCTGATTTTCTTTTCTCAGTGTTTTCTGGAGATTAAAATAAGCTCCTGACAGTTCTGTCTCATGGTGGCAGTGTGACTCTGGGCAAATCTCTTAATATTTCAGGGTCCCCAAATAGCTTTCTAAGACTGATGCTGATTATCATGGGTGAAATAACCATATCTGAAACTCCCAGGGGCACACCAAGGAAATTGTAAGCCTGGTCCCCTGGCCCCTATCCCTTGGTGTGATATTGTCTAAATAAAGAATAAGCCTTCTAGATATGATAAAGGCAGCATAGCTTGGTGGATGTGAGGCTGGTTTTAGGGACAGGAAAACTAGAGTTCTAATCCCACCTTGGACACATAATGGCTCTTGTTTTTTAACTCCCCAGTGCCCCAGGGAACTTTCTAAGCCTTTAAGTGGTTCATAAGTTGCTGATTTGTCTGGGTGGAGGGAATTTCCATTTCTAAACTGGGAGTCCACAATACTGAAATGGTAACTGGGCCAGATGCCTCTCCTGCTTCCCAAAACAAAACAAAATGTATTACATATAAATTATTATTATACCACACTATAATTGTATTATACTATAATTGTATATTTTATATTATATTACATCATATATAAAAAATGAAAACATAGAAAATGACAGATGATGTTTTCCTGTACTTTACTAGATAAATCAGAGGCCCACTTAGGCTGTGTTTTCACAACAGCACTTGAGAAATTCTGCAATAGTTTTCATAGTCTACTCCCCAAAAGAGAGAAGGGGAGTGGTAGTAGTAGTAAAGATGACCACTATTCTCTTCTCCCATTAGTGTGGGTATCCCCATCCATTAGTATCAATCACCACCCATCAATGCCTTCTTATCATATGCGATTCTTATCCATATTCTCTCATATATTTTCTAGAGAAGGGGGTTCAATATGCTGGGAGCCTTTGTCTGGTCTTTTGATATTCTGTGGGTACCAAAGAAGCTTGAGGTGAGGAGTGGGGATCTGTCTGTTACTCCATGCTCTTCCTACATCCCATTCCCATTTCTCATCACACATTTCTTGGGTATCCACATTTTTTCCCCTTCTATGAAAGCTTTTATTGAATGTCATAATGAAGTTTTATTAAATTTTCTTTTTTATTATTCTGAATTTGGCAAACACCAAACAATATGAATCTCTCCACATTCAAAGAAGAAAACAGATTGATATAAACCTGAAATTATTACATATAGCTTGTTTTAAAAAAGTATCGATATTAGATGTATTAATATCAAATATCAATGAAAACATTAAATTTAACAGGGTAATACCAACATTTCTCTGCTTCCCTCTGCCTCCTGAATTTCCTTAGGTTCTCTTTCGTGCATTTTAAAAATGCTTCATTGATTCTTTTTCCTTCTTTTTTTTCTTTTGACATTGCCATCATTATTTTCTTTTCCCCCATAAAGGTCCCTCCCTTCCAAAAAGAAAAACCCTCCCTTAAAAACAAACAAGTAGAGTTGAGCAAAACTGTCTAAAAATGACAGACCTAGTAGTGGTATTGCTGGGTCAAAGAGCACGCGCAATTTGATGTCTTTTTGGGTATGGTTCTAAATTGCTTTCTAGACCAGTAGTATATTAGTGTGCTTCTCCCAAAGCCCTTCCAACAGTTGACAGTTCCCTTTTTTGTCATCTTTGCTAAAATGATGTGTGAGCTGGAGTCTCAAGAGTTGTTTTAGTTTGAATTTGTCTTTTTATTTCTGATTTGGAACATTTTTTATAAGGTTGTTGATAGCTCACATTTCTTCTTTCATATCCTTTAATTTTCCTCTTTTTTTTTTTTTTTTTGGTGAGGCAGTTGGGGTTAAGTGACTTGCCCAGGGTCACACAGCTAGTAAGTGTCAAGTGTCTGAGGCCAGATTTGAACTCAGGTCCTTCTGACTCCAAGGACGGAGCTTTATCCACTGAGCCACCTAACTGCCCCATCTCCTTTAATTTTCTATTGGACAAGAGTTCTTACACATTTGTATCAATTCCTTTTATGGGGTATCCCTGAAGTCACAAGTTATTAAAGACTTTGGGGACACCCTGTATATTTTAGATATGAGACCTTTATCAGAAAAACTTGCTGCAACAATCTTCCTCCTGCCCCCAGTTAACTGGTTTCCTTCTGTTTCTCAAAGTGATTCTACATGGCTTCAGTCTTGAAACAATATTATCTCAGAAAAGGCACCCAAAAAGCAATGACATTCTAGAAGCATGGTAGGCCTAAGTGGACTTCATTGTGTTTCCAATAATGACTTACATGCAAGAAGTGTAGAATAAGGTCCTATCATAAAGAAATCAGAGGGAACAGGAAAGAGATATTTGTTACAGTTATCCCCAGGGGGAAGAATTCTTAACCAAACAAGGGGTAGAGATTATAGGAAATAAAGTCAGCAATTTTGATTATATAAAACTGAAAAGTTTTTGCACAAATAAAGCCAATGTGATTAGAATTGGAAGAGAAACAGTTAATTGGGAAAAGAAATCTTTACAGGCAAATTTCTCAATAAAAGTCTTGTATCCAAACCACATAGGGCATTGGTACAAATATGTAAGAATGAGAACTTTTCCCAAATAGGAGAAATGTAAGTTCTCAGATACTAGTTGTGTGAATGTGCGCAAGTTAACCTCTTTCCTCAGTTTCCTCATGTGTAAAATGGGGATAATAGCACAGGGTTGTGGTGAAGACTATTTGTAAAGTGAGAAGAACAGCGTGGAGGCTACTTTGGCTTGGTCTGAGTGCAGGAGGGAACTTAATATCCAATGTGCCTGGAAAGACAGTTTTAAAAGCTCCAGGAGTTTGTATTTGATTCTAGTGAGCTTTTCTCATGGCTTTGGTTGGGGCTCCTGGGAGATGTTAAAGGGTATTAGGAGAGCTCTTGCAAAAAACAAATAAACAAACAAAGAGGTTGGAGTTGATTGTTGCAAAGAATGAGCTGCGCTGTTGATTCTTTTCTCATGGCCAGTCTGATCAAGTGAAGGGACAGCTCCTGAACGTAATTTAAGATTCCACCACTAGGTGTCAGGAGAAGCCTTTCAAATATCTCCATGATTCTTCGGCACTCTCCGGCCTTTCATTGTGAATTCAGAGCATTTCATAGGCAAGCAATAGAGAAAGCATTGAGTAGATGAATGCTGGGTTGTTGATTTTTTTTTCTTCCTCTTCCAATTCCTGGTTTGAGAGGAAGTAGAAAGAATTATTATGGACAGTTTGCAGATTTAATGTGGAATTTCGTAGCTATGTCACGCAGCCAAATCCTATATAATTTCTCCTGATCATCTCATGAAAAGCTTTCCTGAGCATATGAAAACGATTTCAAGTGACCAGAGCTGAATAGCCAAATACTTTCTCACTTGCTTTGGAAGAAGTTTGGAGAGGTATATCAGCAAAAATAGCCCATTTGCTCTTCTATTTATATGCCACGCAGTATGCTTTACAGTGGAAAGCCAGATTTGGAGTCACAAGACCCAGAATTCAAATCTAACCTTTCCCAAGTCTTAACTGTGTGACCTTAGACAAGTCACTTAACCTCTCTGGGCCTCAGTTTCTTCATTTTCCCCACTTAATAATATTTTATTTTTTTTCCAATTACAGGCAAAGATAGTTTTCAACACTTACTTTTACAAGATTTTGAGTTCAAATTTTTTTTCTCCCTCCTCCTCCCCTTTCCTCAAGATGGCATGCAATCTGATGTAGACTATACATGTACAATAATATTAAACATATTTCCACATTAGTCATGTTGTAAAAGAAGACTAAGAACAAAAGGGAAAAACCCTGAGAAAGAAAAAACAACAAAAAAAAGAGAAAATAGTATGCTTCCATTTGCATTCAGACTCCATAGTTCTTTCTCTGGATGCAGATAACATTTTCCACCTTGAGTCCCTTGGAATTGTCTTAGATCAGCATTGCTGAGAAGAGCTAAGTCTATCATAGTTGGTCATCGCACAGTTTTGTTGTTACCACATACAATGTTCTCCTGGTTCTGCTCACTTCACTCAGCATCAGTTCATGTAAGTCTTTCCCAGTTTTTCGGAAATCCATCTGCTCACCAGAATTTCTTCATTTGTTAAATGATGGGGTTGGGCTAGAGGGCTTGTAAGGTACTCCTCGCTCTCATTCTGTGATTCACAGACTTTCCCTCATGCTTGGGATGTGCTCTTTCCTCACCTCCGTGCTCTTGGAATCCCCAGGTCATGTGAAATCTCAACCTCTAAGAGATCTTTCTTGATTCTTTTAGTTCCTAAGATCACAGATCTAGAGTTCAAAGGGCCTTCAGAGGCCATCTTATAATTTTATTGACAAAGAAACTGAGGCCCAGTGGCGTTAATTGACTTGGTTAAGGCCACACAGATAGTCAGCAATAAGAGGCAGGATCTGAACCCAGATCCTTTGTCTCTAGGGTCAGTATTCTTTCCATTGTGCCGTGCTATCTCTATCTTTTTTGTTTTTTCTATTTAACTGGATATTATGGCATGTTTAGTTTATGCATACTTCCTATTTACTTCTCTAGGTTTCCTCCCTCTTCCTTCCAACCCCCAGTAGACAGTAAGCTCTTTGAGGCCAGGCACTGCTTTGTTTTTCTGTCACTTTATTCTCAGTGTGGAGCACAGTACCTTGCACCCAGAATCAAGGATTTAGAGCTGTTTGGGACCTTG